GGAGAAATCCGATGAGCTATGAAGCTCTTTTTAACGGATGTCCAGTAGGGGCGGGTCAGAAAGTTACAACAAACAATACACAAATACGATAGGAGTGCAAAGTATAGGAAAGAAAGGTAAGGAAATTACGATAAAATATAGCTCAGTGGGCTTTACCAGATAAAGACGACTGAGCTATGGGCTTCTTTTTTAGAAGCGACCTGGCCACAAATGACAACTCAACGAAGTGGCTTATCACGTGGACATATATAGCAGCCACACCACGGGGCAACATTGTGGTGGTGGTGGGCAGTGCAACAAAACGAATTCATGGTACTAAGATGCTCCCATATCTATGCTACCGGCCTTCGGCAACCCGCACTGACCATCGTGGTGAAGTATGGCTAAATAACGCCTCTTCAAGAGCCAGCGCAGCTCTCATCCAGCAGTGGATTGACAAAAAGAGCTATACATGTGTTTTCCTTGTGCACAGCAATCACTTAAATCCCTGCCCTGCACTGCGCAATTGCGTGCAACTGAGACCAATGCAACAAAATGCGGGGTCATTACAGCGATTGTATACAGTACGTGTTTTAACAAATTTGTATACAGTACGTGTTTTAACAAATTTGTATACAGTACGTGTTTTAACAAATTTGCTAAATCTTCATCTTTCGTCTAAAAAAAAAATCGCCGTTTCCATTTGCACGACAATTACAGGTTCCAGATGAATTCGAGCGAAGATAATCACATTCATCCCCCTGCAGGAGCGAGAGAGCGAAGGACGTTGGATGGGGAGGGGGGGGGTGTGAAAGTCCAAGGAATTCGAATAAAAATCCAACCACAATCGGACAACGCCCTGCTATCGTGTGGACGATTTGTATCTTGCTTGCGAGCGAGATGCAGCATTGCGATGCTCACGAATAAAAAAAAATAATGATGACGACGACGACGATGATGATGAGAACACAAATAACACAAAACAAACACGACGCGACATTGCCAAGCCAATGCATGGGGCATTCCTCTAGACTAACCCCCCCAACAGCCTTGCAGCGCCGGTAAAGAGCAGGCGGTGTCTGTCGGCCGGTGAGTGAGGTGGGGGTAAGCCGATGTACTCTCACGAGACTTACGCTCCATGTCCATGGCCTCTGCTTGTGGTTGTGCACGCCCGGGACAGAGAGGACAGACAGACAGGCAGGCGGGCAGGCGGACAGACAAAAGAGAGGAGACAGGCAGACAAGACGACAGACAGACAGGCGAGAGGTGGTGTCGTAACGGTGGCCTAATGCTCCACTCTCACACGGAGAGGACGCCGTTGCCGCTCTCCCTGTCTGCAAACGCCGGTAGGAATGAGAGCAAAGGAGGGAGAGATCGCAGTCAGTCCGTCATGCGACACCTACCGCACGCGTTTCGTGTTGCAATGCGGCAAGAAGCGAGGGGGAGAAAGACAAAGGTGCCCCGTATAGCCTTACGCGCCGTCGTTGGGGCAAGTGCTGTTTGGCGAACACTGGCGGGTTGCCACCCGTCCGGGAAATTGGCTATCTGTTTTCGGGTGGTAGTCTACCACCGCCCTGAATTTGGGTCTCAAACGGCGTGGCTAAAACGCTTAGAAGCTGATCGCAATGAGCGAAGGGAAATCTCTCACTCGGAGGACGCCTCCCACAGCCGCCCCGAGGCAGCACAAATCAGACCGTGGCGTTCGCAGCAGCGGTTTCTAATACGAGCAACTTAAAATGTTATCTTCGTTACGAAATTCACGTTGAAATTATCATTATAAATATTGCTTTAAACACGAAAACAAATCATAGGACAGGATTTCCATTAGAAAAATAATACTGGTAGGAACGAAGTTGTAAACTGAGTGTACCAGCCTGCAATAGATTCATGTGTCCGTCCGTCCGTCCCCTTTCAATACTTAACGAAGTGAAAAATTCCAATGTTCTCCTACCAGCCCACCCTGCAGGGACCTGTTTTATCATCCTACAGCTTCTTGATGGGGGGTCGGCGTCCCCCAAAGCCTCCAGTGGACTTCACCGTGCCAGGTGGTTGGACATTGCTTGATGGCGAGACGTCGTACCGGGCGCATCTACACAATTCTCATGGCCGTAGGCCGACTGAGGAATATGTCCGGGTTTGTTCTGTGACTCGTATGTACGCAAGCCAAGTAGAAACACGCATTACGTGCAGGCACACGAAACAATAAACACACCCGCGCAAGCATTATACCGAAGACAAAGCCTCGTATACTCATCAAACACATGGACGCAGGGGAAATGCACCACATCCATACACACGTACGTGTCCCAAACACATACGGATACGTTTACTACACACAGAGACACTTACATACTCCACTGCATGCTCACGCAGACATACTAAAACATACGCATGGACGTATGACTATACAGTCTTCAGCACACACGTACACACATTACATAACATACAAAGAGAGATATACGATTCATAAACAAATATTACACGCATATCAAGAACACACGGACATCAAATACTACAGACACAAACACATATACCTCACACAGGGACATACTTATAATAAACACAGACACACACGATACATGGACGTACTGAACATATATGTTTAAATATATTGTATTTTTATTTTACCAAATTATGCACACCACATTGAGCTGTATAGCTTTTTTTTCAGAAGCGACCTGCCCACCAACGACAGCTCAACGGAGTGGCCAACTAACTCTTGAACACGTGCGCATGTGGAAGAGGTGAGCTGTGAGCGTCCTGAGTATCACGCCCTCCTCTCGATGTGTCACTTCGGGGTGTAAAAGTCAACAGCAGCGCGTTCTCATCCGTTCACGTTTACAGGTCGCCGGGGACTCTCCCTGTCGTCCCTGCAAAGGTGCATTTCTCGACTCCGTTGAATAACGCAGTCAATATCGAGGGGTGTTCGTTACACTCGCAGTGGCTTCAGTTGACGAGGCAGGCAAACGGAGCCCCGGATGCGCGACCTTGAAAATAACGAGCGAATGTTTTCGCCGTGCCACCCAAATACACACGTTGCGTGAACTCCGCAGCCTTTGTACGGAGGTCTGCACTCACCCTCGGCATCAAACAACAATTCACAATTCCCCCATCACAACGGGCGGTGTTGGCTACGCACGTGTCCTGTGATCCAGCACTGTGGAGGCAGCAAGGTTTGGTGGATCACACAAATGTTGCTAAACTCCCCTCCCGTGGGCGTCGTGGTGCAATAACCCCGGCTCGCCAGGAGGCGGCTGTACAGCAGGTAGACTAAATCGCCGCGTGTCCATCCGTACGGGGATAGAGCGTTGTCCCCTCGCGAAAAAGGCGTGGTGTTTCTCCCGCGCGGACGAAAAACTCTGGAAAGGGGGAAAACAAACAAAAAACATCTTCAAATTTTTTTTAACAAAAACCCCTGCAGGACCCTCGCAAAAAAAAGTCTTACGGCTCAAGTGTGGCTCTCCAGTAAATGAATTCTAATATATCTGTTCCGTGTCGTCTGCCGTCAAAAACCGGCGACGCTCGCCTTCCGGCGGTGACATGACCGATAATTGCAAGGCGTACATCACCCCGGCACAAACGAGAAGAGGGTGGCTGGTGACGGAGCGGTCTTGGTACATATCAACTACTTGGCGGAACGGGCAGCGCGCCCCGCTCATCGGTGTTTTGTTCAATGATTCATGACGCGAGTTTAAATACGCTCCCTAAAAGAAGCTGTCAATCTCGGGAGACTTCTGCGCTGGCGAGTGAACGCACGCGCAATCTGCTCTGCATCATTAAAACAAAGAGGTGGGTGGGATCGTTAGCTGCCGGCGGCTAACGGGGTGAGACAAGCATTTAAAAGGATTCTTTTTTTTCGAACGATGCGCGCTTTTGTCGCTCTGCGGAGGCCATTTGGATGCGTTTAAAGCAGGCGCGAGATGGTGAATGATGAGGAACGAGCCTAAGGGATCGAGACTACCCTTCTGCAGTTACAAGAAAACTAAAATTGTAATGGGCAATAGCAATAAAAAACACGTGCACGTGTTAATTAACTAATCTCCTCTATTTCGTGCACTCCATTTACCAAGTCATGAAGAACTTACAGAACCCTATTACGAAATAAAGTTAATTTGATGGCACGAGAAATGGCAATGGCTTGTGTAAGGCTTCATCCAACAGTGGATTGACCGGAGCTAACGATTCAAAAGCTGTAGGGACTGCGTTGGCGGTAGTACAACAATCACACACGAAAATCACCAACACAATCCTCAACAGCGCTACTTTCATCAACATTACGATGAAGCCATTGTCATCATCTAGCTCCTGCACATAATCCAAACAATTATCATCACTCCCATCTCCACGGTGTTCTCTCCTTTGGCTGCCAATCTGTCGTTAGTCTCAACCACGTAGCACTGCCTTACACGCAGGAAGCAATACACACTGCGATGTTTTTGGGCCGTGACTTAAGAGCAATCGCCATTCTGCTCTGACGGACCATTGCCCAAAAACGTCAGACTATTACTGGCGCCTACTCTCCTCTTGTAAAAAGTTGCGGTGTGGTCGGCACTCGCAAGTGGCTCCCAAAGGAGAGAAGACACGCAGAGAGAACGTCCACCTTGGGATGCAGCGATTAATCAACCCATCAGCGGGAGGTGGAACGTTGCCACGTGGGCCCGTGATGAATGATGGTGGCACGGGAAGGTCTTCATCCAGCAGTGTGGATCGTGGCTGCTGAAGGCAGTGCTAATGACGAATACCGTAATAACCCGCCAGATGTCATCAATACCACTGTCTTCATCTAAGCATTGGAGCAATCATGGTTAATACCATGATCGTGGTTAATACAACTCACCGACTTCATCATCTAAGCAGTAGTGATCATGCTCAATATCATGGTTAATACCATGATCGTGGTTAATACCACTCACTGCCTTCATAATCTAAGCATGTGGAGTCATCATGGTTAAGGATGGCAGTGCGATCCACGAACGTGACGCGTCAGAGTTGTAGCGTCATTGTGACATTGGCAACACGCGTCTCCGCACATGGCGTAGAAATTGTTTATTGTAACTTTTGAAGCGACTACTTTGCGACGGCAATAACGTACAAACGATAGGGGGCAGTTGAAACCAAAGCGAGATGTTTTTTCATTTGGTTTATCCCTTCCAAATGACAACAATTTTACAAACGCATTACCACTATAGCTGTAGAGCAACCCCCCCCCCTCACCACATGTTAAAACATGACAGACCAATAACAAATACCATACATTCGTAAAGTAACAATGGAAAGAGTACACTTAATACTGTATTACAGTTCATGCGCAGTATTAAACGACAGCTGTTTACAGACATTTAATGTGCATGTACATTTTTCACTGCACTCTTAAAACAACAGTAATCATTCCGTTTATAATTACACGTGTGCTAAAAACCAAATGCACACTTTCCAGTCCCGGCAGGTAAAGTGTAGAAGAAACATAACGGTCTCCGTTTTAGAGTGGCAAGTACTTTTTTTTTTTTAAAAAGGACATGGTTATATTTGATGACCGTATGCTAAAGTAGCTTGTAACCTCTCCTGCACCACCTTAAAGTACATATATATGTTTTGCTAAATTAAAGTGAAAACAGCAGTTATTAAAAAAATTAGTACAGGCAAAAACGTTCGTGAGCATATTTAATGAGTACACAAAAACCGGCAAAGGGGTATTATAAACTTAACTTGAAATTGTACTAAATTTAAGCATATTTATAAATCGTTATTCCAAAATTGTTGGCTTGATAGGCAGTTCATATCGTGTGATGAAAACTAATAAGCTCTTTGTAAAACCAATGCTCAATGGGCTAACTTATTTAAGAGGTGGGGCCTAACACAGATTTGTCTGCGTTTTTTGTGGTTAACGTTTAAATTAAAGATTGTCAAGGGGAATCATCACTCCTGCGACAGTCACACGTCGTACAACGGGTATTGTAAAAACCACACATTCGTTTGCCAAAATGTCCACTTGGCTTAGTGCATCCACACGCAGGAAATGATTGTGACCCGGTCAAAACTGGAACGAAGAGTCGTCCGGCATTCATGGCACAGTTTGGCCACCAGCCAAGTGCCACGCGTGCACACATCAAGCATTGGAGCACGTACATTAACACAAATGCAATTCACATAAATAAAACACGGTATTACTGCCAACATCACAAAGGCTACTGAATGATAGATCATTTCTGTTGTCATGAAAATATCACAAAGGCCAGACCGGTCTCCGGCTTTCATATGGGGCATAATTTCGCTTCATTTGGTTCCCGCTCCCAAGTAGGCAGAGAGCTTCCTCCAGGACGCTTCATTAAGGACGAGTAGCCACGTTTCAGGATGAGGCTACAGTAGTCCCTGCGTTCTTCAGGCCAGACTCCGCTGCCGTGGTTTGATCCGCGGGTAGAGCTGTCGGGGAGACGCACAACATTGTTAAACAGTCTCCCGTGAATGGACGAGTACAGGTGCCCACACATCCAAATACAAATGCACGTGATCTACGACCAACCCAAAATGACGTGAAAATACAAACAATAGCAAACTACTCCCACGAAAAGTGTTTAAAAAAAAGATAAACCTATTCATAATACCTTTAGTTCTTTGGCTATAAATCATGTAACGTGGTGACCTATAGTATGAAATTGTTTACATTATGCAATGCTTGAAAGTGCATGTTTATATGCAATTTTGCTTGTGTGTGCAAAGTGACAGGTTTTAATACAAAGTATTATATCCAATCATGTGCAATGCAACAAACTCAAAATGTATTATCTAAGCTTAGGGGGGCTAATGCCGCGTTGGCAATAAACCATCACCACAGGGATCCCACGTTCCAACCATAATGAATGAAGGTTCTTAATTGTTTAGCAAGTTGACAGTCTCGGCACCATTCAAAACGACCGCGGCAAATAAAACCAATTCAATTGCTTTTACACTTTACCGTGCCAAATGAAATGTGTATTTAACCACCACTCAACGCACATCTCAACACACTGCATTTGCGAGAAGGTGCACCATCCCCCGTGCAGTGTAAAAATAAGCAAATCAAGGGACCTCACAAATCAAGGGACCTCAGTCGAAGTTCTGCCGTCATCTTCAACACGTTCTGCCAGAGTTCAAAATGAACTGCCTGCATCTAGCGGCATAACAGTGATAGTGCAAATGGAATATCACGCAAATTTATATTTCACAAAAAAAGTGTTGCTGGCTTGCTCGCTACGCAGGTGACCTGCACACGTGTGGGGGCGCGAGAGGGAAGGACGCGTGCGAGGGGGGGGGGGGGTCTAGGCGGGGAGGGGTGCGCGTTGTTACGCGTGGGAGGGAGGGGGACACCCAGGAATGGGGAGGAAGGTCGTTTATTGACAGGTACTTTCAAGCTGTTATTTTTAAAAGTTTTGCTGGCTGGTTGGTTGCCTCAGTTTCAGTTTCTTTATTTTGGTATAGCCCTGTGAGCCATTCGGCTCTTGAATCGGGTGCAACCACAACAAACAAAAAAACAAAAACACGAACAAGAAAAATATCTTAAAGTGACTGTGACTGTGCAAACAGAAAATCCATGAAAAAAACAGCAAAATATTCCTGAAAAAAGCACCGTACACAAACGCTGTGTGCAAAAATCCCAGTGGGATACAAGTCAAACAACAACAAAAACCACAAGAAAATTTAGATTAAGGCCATCAGTCTAACTCCGTACTACAACAAAACAAACATGTCCAAACCAAAAAACTTTTCGAAATCACCAAAAAAATAAAGCCATAAATGCAACGTAATAGTCATCATAGGGACTGCGACCGGATTTTTACAATAAACTACATAAATAACATGTAACACCAAATCCTAGAGCCATAGCTGGCTGCATGAGTTACTCCACAACAGAAGCATCAGTCGGAGTATAAAATGTTTCAATGCACCTTTAAGATCAGCACGCTAAATCAAAATACAGATAATACTTTGCTGCGTCAGTGAATAGCAATAGAAGCTAGGGGTGTGCAACTCCTCTAGAGCAGTTTTGAGAGAAGATCTCATTGGTAGCAATTCAAGTTGCAGTTTATTGGCAATAGCATTCCAGACCCTGGGGGCATCAATAGCAAAGGCCCTTCCTCCAGTTTTTATACGGCAATAGGAATGTGAAGCTGGTAAATGAGCGAAGACCTGAGGTCAAATTTTATCTTGGAAACAGAGAGGAGATCCAGCAGGTAGTCTGCGGATTTTTGTGTAAGTACATCGTGAATAAATAAGATCTGGTGCACAAGCCGTCGAACATTAAGAGATGTTAAGTTTGACCCAATGTATAGATCACAGTGGTGAGTCCTATATGGGCAGTTCAATGTAAATCTTAAGGCCGAGTGATAGATGGAATCAAGCTTCTTCAGTACAGTACTTGGGGCTGATTTATACACGATGTAACAGGAGTCAAGTAGAGGCAGTATGGTAGCTTTTATCAATTCCAAACGGAATATTGGGGGGAAGCAGTGCTTGTGTCGATAAAGAAAACCAATTTTTATTTTTGTCTTTTTACCAATATAATCAATGTGATCTTCAAAATTCAGTTTTGAATCCAGGATGACCCCAAGATACTTATAGATCTTGACTTGCTCTATTTGATAATTATTTAAGAAATGTAATTGGGGAAAAATAACTTTCTGCTTTAGTCTTGGTGAGAAGCATAGCACCTTGGTTTTGGAGGTATTCAGGACTAGTTTAAGAGCAACTAGCTGATGTTGTAGTTTGTTGAAATCACCCTGTAGTTTAGCAATCACGTCATTCGGAGAGCGGCCAGCAGTAATCAGTATCGTGTCATCTGCAAAAATATTTACCCTGGAATGATCCAGGTCAGTGCCCAAGTCAATGACATAAAGAGAGAACAAAAGGGGGCCGAGGATGGAACCCTGTGGAACCCCTTTTGTTATCACTGTTTGACCTCCAACCATCTGTGAATACAGTTTGGGTGCGAGAAAAGAGGTAATTTTGTAACCATTTTACTGCGTTTTCGGAAAAACCGAGGCAACTTAGTTTACTAAGCAGGGTGTTGTGGTCTACTGTATAAAAAGCTTTGGACAGGTCTAGAAAAAGAGAGTCACAGTACTACTTATTATCAAGGCTACTGTAAATGTGATTCAGAGAGTCTAATGCAGCAGATGTGGTACTGTATTTTTTCAGACAGCAGATTGTTTTAGATGTAGTAGATTGTTGGTGGACAGGAAACTGATAATTTGGTAGGTCAATAATTTTTCAAAAATTTTTATCAACGGGGACAAAATTGAGATAGGTCAGTAGTTATTTGGATCATCTTTAGGGCCCCCTTTATGAAGTGAATGGACATAGGAATGTTTCCCTTCTAGAGGAACTGATGCTTCCTTGATGGACAGGTTGAAAATATGGGCAATAGGTTTGTATATTAGGTTACCAACAGTTAGTAGAGCAAAGACGGGTCTACTATCTGCTCAAGTAGAGGAGGACCCTTTGAGGTAGGACAGTTGTTTCAGAACATTACTTTCGTGGATTGGTTGGAATCTAAATTCGTTTAATGTTTGGATAGGGGTGTAGGAATTTGCATGAGCAGGGGTGACTACCAATACATTATCAAAAAGATTACCAGCTTCAGAAAAATGAAGGCAAAAATTGTAAACTACTTTTTTGGGATCTGAAAAATATTCCCCATTTCGGTTAAGCTCAACGGGCAGATTGTCTGTTTTGGATGCCTTTTCGATACATTTGATTGTTTTCCAGAAAATCCTGGCATTTCCATGTGATTCCAGGAGAGTGGAGGAAAAGTAGGCATTTTTTGCACGCCGTATTTTTTTTACGCATCTATTCCTTAAAATCCTGTATTCTAGCCAGTCATTGACCAAATTACTTTTCTGAGCACATGCCCAAGCCTTGTCCCTAGTTTTCATGAGCTTGTAATCAAAGGATCAAACCATGGTCGGCGGTTGCCTTTAGTTTTAAATCTAACCAACGGAGCATGTTTGTTAAGAATTTGGAGAAACGTGTACCTGAAGGTCTCCCAAGCTGTAGTCAGGTTGGGGATATCACAGACCTTGTCAATATCTGAGTGAACCACATCATTAGTAAATGCCTGAGTGCTGAAGTGTCTCATAGAGTGCTTCTCAACCAATTTATGGGGGGCTTTGGGTCTGGTTGATGATCTCACCCCAAAAATGAAGGAGTGATCACTAAGGTTATTACCCAGAACACCAGTCAGTGTGAAATTGTGAGGGGCATTTGTCAATAGGACGTCAGGCAGAGATGACTGTCCCGGATTTTTTAGGTTGGGTCTTGTGGGGACATTTAATAATTGAAACAGATTAAATTAATCTGCAAAATTTGTGGCCACGGCCGGCGGGTTTAGCCAATTCCAATTTAGATCACCCACTAAAACTATTTCACCTTTAGGGAGGCCCCCAAAAAGCTCTCTCAGTGCAGATGCAGCTTCAACATCCTTCCCATTAGGCGGTCGATAGCAGCACACTACCAATATCTGTTGATTATTTGGGAGAGTTATTCTGAGAGCCAGACCTTCAAAGCAACATTTTAAAAAACAAGGAGTGAGCTAGTGAACATGCAATAGTATTACGGACATAGATGGCAATTCCACCTCCTTTAGATCCTCGGTCAAGCCAAAAAAGGTTGTAGTTGTCAATCGCAATCTGCAAGTCATTGACGGCAGGAGTGAGAAATGTTTCTGTTAGGCAAAAAATGTCCGGGACAAGATTTGCCACTTCCAGTTTTAGTTGACTTAATCACAACCCCTCTGATATTGACATGTTGAACACCAACACCTTTCCTGCCAGAAAAATCTACAGAATTATGAGTTATTTTCATTTGGGCCAGGATGAAGCTCACTACCACCCAGAAATAAGAAAAGTAGAATTAATAGTTTGCACAAGTATTTTCTGTGAAAGGATGAAGAGCGGTGAACCTTGGACGAATAGCAGTAGCTCGCAGATGGTGTTATTTTTAAGAGCAGAATGAAGTTTGGAAGGAGTACTGGTGAAATAATGGGACAAAGATAGGGTTTAAAATTATACAATGATGGAGTGTAGAAGTGTCTATGAGCTGATTCATTAGCAGGTATAGTGGCAAATCGAGCAACAAGTATGGACGCAAAGTAACGAGGGTAGCTGTTTGTAGAGTTGAGTGTGGCACTAGATATGGCCGGGAGGGACAGCAGTAGGATACACAGCAGGAGAATTGCCATCTCTAAAATATCCGGGGTAAACACAGATTTACACACAAGCGGAAAAGAAAAAATATATATACTTGTAGGCCGAGCGCGAGAAAATGTCTTGCCGCACTCGTCACACATGCACGGCTTCTCGCCCATGTGCTAGGGTTGAACAGCCACCCCCCCCCCAGACAGGGACAGCAGATTCTTGGCTGTTGTGTGCTCGGCTGAACCGCTTGCACCGCCTCCTTTCCCCGCCGCAGGATGGTGCTCGAGCTAGCCCTCCTTGAGCTCAGCCCACGACTGGAATGTCGTTTCTTGGCCTCTCGTGTCTCTGCTGCCCGACCAGACGGCCCCACTGAAGCCCACACAGGGGACTCTTCACTCACGACCCTTGGCCGTCTTGACGATCTCCGTGAAGTTTTCCAGGAACACAGCTTGGGGTCCGTCACAATGGTGCCTTGGCAGGAACACAGCTTGGGGTCCGTGGCAATGTTGCCTTGGCAGGAACACAGCTTGGGGTCCGTGGCAATGTTGCCTTGGCAGGAACACAGCTTGGGGCCAGTAGCAATGTTGCCTTGGCATTTACACAGCTTGGGGTCCGTGGCAATGCTGCCCTGGCAGGAACACAGCTTGGGGTCCGTGGCAATGTTGCCTTGGCAGGAACACAGCTTGGGGTCCGTGGCAATGTTGCCTTGGCAGGAACACAGCTTGGAGTACGTGGCAATGTTGCCATTGGCAGGAACACAGCTTGGAGTCCGTGGCAATGTTGCCTTGGCAGGAACACAGGTTGGGGTCCACGGCAATGTTGCCTTAACTGGAACACCGCTTGTGGTCCGTCGCACTATTAACTAGGCCTCACTCAAGCTGCGCCATGGGCGCAATCAACCAGGCCTCACTCAGGCTGCGCCAGGTGCACGATTTACTAGGTCTCACTCAGGCTGCGCCAGGTGCACTGTCAACCAAGCCTCACTCAGGCTGCGCCTTGTGCATGATTAACTAGGCCTCTCTCAGGCTGCGCCAGGTGCACAATCCGCCAGGCCTCACCCAGGCAGTGTCATGTGCACAACCAGGCCTCACTCAGGCCGTGCCACGTGTATGACCAACTAAGCCTCACTCAGGCTGCGCCTTGTGCATGATTTACTAGGCCTCACTCAGGCTGTGCCACGTGCACTATTAACTAGGCCTCACTCATGCTGCTCCAGGTGCACTATTAGCTAGGCCTCACTCAGGCTGCGCCAGGCGCACAATCTAGCTAGGCCACACTCAGGCTGCGCCAGGTGCATGACCAACCAGGCCCCACCCAGGCCGCACCAGGTGCACACACGAGTGCACATCACCACACCATCACACCATCACACACACACACACGAGTGCACAGCACCACACTTATCACACACACACAGAGTGCACATCACCACACCATCACACACAAAGAGTGCACATCACCACATCATCACACACACAAACGCAGAAGTCCCTCTCATCACGGCCACTCTCACACGGCTCAGTCACATACACGGCTCACACACAGCTCATTCTCAATCACATTTTTACACATTTTCACGCACAGTTTACATTCGCGCTGCTACACATGCCACCGCCGCCATCTGCAGTTGAGGATTCCAGATTAGGTTATTAAACTGACCCCCCAAAAAATTGATGGATCACTTGTATTGGTAACCAAATCCCTACCACGTATGAAGTGAACCTGCCTGCATGCAAGGAGGGACGGACAGATGGTCATGTCCAAAGGAAGTGCAGGCTCGTCAACTTTAGAATAAAACAAAAAATCCAGAAATAATTGCACATGTGTATATATTACAAACAAAGATCCCCATATGGCCTTAACAGACTGTTGTGGCAAGGGCTGTTAGCGAGCATATAGGAAGGCCGGCACGGGAGACGAGGGGGTGGATGGCCAGCACCACGCCCAACCACCTTTGTCACCCCAGTGGCGATGTTTATATGCCGCATCAGGTACTCATTTGAGGCCGAGTCGACCTAGGGGAGGCCCAGGACCAGTTCAGATAATTGTCACTGTTGGCCGTGAGCGGGAATCGAACTCCGGTTGCCGGGTTCGTAGCACAACGCACTAACCGCTAAACTACTGTTCACCACACAGTGATGCATTTATAGATACCCCATTGATTTCTAATGACCCTCTTCTCAACAGCTGTTTGAATATTGTGAAAGCAACAGCTCCATATCTAAGATAGGAGTGTGAGAAAACGCAATAAATGTATTGAGATTGGTGGGATACAGACAATTTGAAAACACAATTGGAGTACTCTAAAATTCCTCACTATTGCCCTTTGACACGTAATAGGGCTGTACCCGTGTTGTTCGGCACGATGTCTGACATTTAGCTCCACGTTCTCTCGAGAAAAAGTTCCTAGCACGTGGAGCGAAGAAGGTTTTAGGACACGGAGTGAAACATTGGATATCGTGCCGAAAGAGCACGCGGTACAGCCCTCAAACACAGAGCGCCGCTGCCCAGCACGACCGTAAAAACCGCCAAAGTGTTTATATTTAAAATAGCGTAGCTCCAGTGGCTTCCTAATATCGGAAGAGCGTTCCAGAGGGCCGCAGAAGCGCATCTGAAAGCACGCGATGCAGTGATGGTCTTTGTTTTCATGTGCTAGTTTGAAAACTCATTTATTTAAAACTGCTTTTTGTGTTTACTTTGTTGTCTTTTCCCCGCACCTCCGATTAGCACCGTTGGCTACGTACGATGCGAAAGAAGTTTAACGTACATACATACAGCCGACCGTCCCTTTTATATATCAATCACGTGAACGCACGTGGCATGTTAGCCCCCCCCACGGCTGCCCGAATGTGGTCCAGCATCTCATCCCCCTCTCGCTCCTCCTCACCCCGAGCAGGTTGCGTGGCACGTATCCCTCCCGATCGTCCAGGCGCACCCACCACCACTCCGTCTCCTCTTCGTCCCCTCGTCGCAGCGCGGTCAGGGCATCGCCCTCCCGCACCGTCAGCTCGTCCTCGCTCTCCGCCTCCAAGTCCCAGAGCGCGTACACCACCCCCTTGTTCATCACGCCCATCTTCTCTTGCACGCCTGCGAGCAACAGCGCCAAGTGCGCGCACACACGCACGCGCACACACACACACAAAGGACAACGATCAGTCCCCAATGCAGGCATACGAATTGTTGGGGGCAAGCGCCGTCAGCAAGCACTTGAGGCTCGCACCATGCCCGGCAGCCTTCGTCTCCCCAGTGCTGATGATTATACGCCGCATAAGGTACTCATTTGAGGCCCAGTAGACCTAGGGGAAGTCCTCGAATAGTTCAGATATCCGTCACTGATGTCAGCCATGGTTGGGAATTGGAACTCAGGTTGCCGGCTTTGTAGCACGGTGCGCTAACCACCATATTACCGGTCCCCACTCCCAAATGGCCATGTAAACACACGCACGCACACACACACACGACCTGTTGTTGTTTTACCCAAGTGACGTGTCACTCATCTGTAACTCAGTTATCAAGTATTCTTGGTTCTTTCGGTAAAGTCACGTAGAAGGGAAACAATAAAATAATAAAAATATATTTTTATTATTTTATTGTTTCCCTTCTACGTGACTTTACCGAAAGAACCAAGAACATGAATCCCTGCAGTCACGAAAGCTTTAAATCAGAATTCAGTTATCATGGTCGCTTGATCACACGATTAGATGTTTGCTTCTTCATGAACTCAGAACTGTGAATCTGGTGATCTATATTTTACTCCTGGCAATGGCTAACATCAGTGGCAAATCACTTCTGAACCAGTCTTGGAGTCCCTCCACTTCAACTTACCTGAACTGCCACGCAAGGTCAAGTATGCCGAAGCAACACTCATGATCATGGGATGGCCTCTATTCAGGAGGTGATTCACAAATGGGCTTAGACATTATTGAAAAAAAACATTTGTTATGCTCTTTTGAACACTGCACTACATGGTATTGGAGACAAGCTATACACTGGAAGTGCACAATGACTGCTGGCAAGCAAACACAATCCCTAGGGGTGAGGTTCAGGGTTAGTGTGTTGTTTAAAAATGGGACCATCCAAACTTGCCCTTGACAGTTATTGCTTTACTCTTTTGCAACAGTTTGGAAATGGCTTTTACTTCATATCTGCGGGCATAGTTCATTCCACAACGTCAATTCTCTGAAGCACACTTAGCAAATATCAACCCCCGGTGGCCTGAAGTGTTACGCTGTCCACTTGCCAGTGTTCAAGTGCCTTTTGACAAAAATAGTCACCACCGTTGTAGTGGGAGCCCAGGGAGGGAAGAGGTGCTGTGGTAATTGAGACACGATATGGAGAGGTGTACGCTCACAATTACACCGAGACAGAAATAGAAACGCATAAATCATGGTACAATACAAATCAGAGAGGCATCCTTATGACAATTAAGTAAAGGAAATGGGCATGAGCGGGGAACAACGCAAGACTGGCCTGTGGCAGATGGACGAGACTGATGATGGAATGGAAGCCAAGGAGAGAACGCGCCCCTAAGAGATCGTCCACCGCGGAGATGGAACAGTGAGATCCGTTTGTGTGCAAGGAGCGCGATGAATTGTTGGCTACGTACATTGCGAGAGAAGTTCAACATGCGTACATATACGCGAGACCGTAAGAGATGGTGACGATGACCCCCGTACACACTGCTGAATGCAATACAGAAAACTGGAGCGTGGCTGCGGTGGGCGGCAGCAGCACCGGGCCACAAGGGACAATAACGGCGTGGGAAGGCCTTCGTCCAGCGGTGGATTGATCGTGGCCGACGGCGATAATGAACATCACGAGCACATGCAGGGATCACCCACCATAGAGGAACTGGTAGCACTGCTCGTAGCCCTCCTCCATCTCGTCGCACTTCTCGGCCGCCGTCTCCATGTCGCTCTGCGTGGCGGCGAACACGGCGGCGCCCGTCTCCACCAGGAAGCGGCACAGCTGCGTGCTGTTGCACGACGCGGCGCAGTGCAGCGGGGTCCTGGCACCAAGCGGCCGCGCGACGATCACGGTGAGACTAAACCAGGGACCGGCGACCTGCGGCCCCTCCGGAGCCGCAATGCGGCTCGCCGAGGACTGCTTCGTGACGTTATTTATTAAGGACCACTGTCTCGTATTTCACCACGTGCATTGCGGCTCTTGAAATATTGAAGAAAAAAATGGCTATTTTTGTCACATTGGGTGTCGAACCCTGGACTAAGCTATTGTTATTGTACCAGGTAAGGCCCGCCGGGCTGTGAGACTCTTTTTCACAAAATGAGAGTTCAACGGAGTGGGCTTATCGTGTGGAAATGTAGTGCAGCCAAATACTCTAAAACGCACGCGGTTTCTAATTGTGCAGAGAAAAACCGGAGGACCCGGAGAAAAATCCACCCGACCAAATATACAGGAGGCGTCAGGGTAGGGGTCGAACCCACAACCTCCTGTATACCAGGCGAGGTATGTAATATCTCGCCACCATGACGCAATGGTAATCTATTACCTTGTCACCACCACTATCATGACCTCATCCATACTCTCCTCAACCTCCCCGCCCCCACTCTGTGGGTCAAGACACTTATTTATCCACTGCTTCCCTAACAGTGCTTGACTTTGGAATTCCCTCCTATCATTTGATTTCCCAAACTCCATACAACCTTGCTCAATGCAAGAATTACATCAGCTTTTACGACTACACCTTTACAGGTGCCGTTTGTTTCCGGACACTTGACACGTTTGAGGACAAGGTCATCTCATCTCGTGTCTCCATGCGCCCACGATACCAGCCACCCCCCCCCCGCCCGCCCCCATCTCGTGTAGTTTGTGGGTGAGAAATGGACACGCGCACACACACACAGACACACACCATCCGTCACTGTCGCCGGCGTTGACGTTGACGCCGAACTGCACGAGGAAGCGAACGATGTTCATGTGCCCAGCGCACACCGCGTTGTGCAGCGCCGTGATGCCCTCGTCGTTGGGCCGGCTGGGGTCCTCCGCCTGCAGACAAAAATCCACTCTCGCTCGTACCAACTTTCCACCATACAAATGGAGCCGTGCCGGGGCCGTGCCGGGGCCGTGCCGGGGCCGTGCCGAGGCCGGGGCCGTGCCGGGGGCGTTCTGAGGCCGCACGAAGCCAGCCACAGTGTGGCTCAGCAAGCGCCGGTGATGTTTTTTTCCACCGTAGAAGCAGAGCCGTTGCCGCTAACGTCAAGGGAAATGAACGAGTCGATATGTCTACGGAGGTTACTCGGTGACGCTGTGTACTCACAGTGTATGTACCGACTAACGTAATAATGCAGTGACCTAGTCGAGACACATGTAGGTGACGCCAATGACGCTGTGTACTCACAGTGTACGTACCGACTAACGTAATAACGCAGTGACCGAATCGAGACACATGTAGATGACGCCAATGACGCTGTGTACTCACAGTGTATGTACAGACTAACGTAATAACGCAGTGACCTAGTCGAGACGCATGTAGGTGACGCCAATGACGCTGTGTACTCACAGTGTACGTACCGACTAACGTAATAATGCAGTGATCGAGTCGAGACACATGTAGGTGACGCCAATGACGCTGTGTACTCACAGTGTACGTACCGACTAACGTAATAATGCAGTGACCTAGTCGAGACGCATGTAGGTGACGCCAATGACGCTGTGTACTCACAGTGTATGTACCGACTAATGTAATAATGCAGTGATCGAGTCGAGACGCATGTAGGTGACGCCAATGACGCTGTGTACTCACAGTGTACGAACTGACATAAAACTCAATGAAGGAGTCATTGGCCCCAGTCCCTGGCCCTGCTTGGCCTCGAGTAAAATTCAGTTGTCTCGTGAGGACACTGCATCATGTTTTGGTTCCAGCTCAGCATAGCAAATAGCCAGTGGAAAACCACCCGTACCATGACTGACCGCCCTGCATTAGATCGGCTAGAAGGTGCTGGTGGAAATGGGTTATTACTGACAAAACCGAATGTAGCAGATGACCGCTGCTGCAATACACTGGGTTGCAGCCAAGGTCATTCGGTTGAAGCATTTGATATGCAATCAAGGGCGATCGCAACTTAAATCGCATTTGTATCGTTGTAATGGTTAATGTCGCAAAAATGAACAGCAATAAAGGCGTGTTTTTTTCACACTGAGCACAGACATCCTGGCATATGATATCTTGGCAAATTTCCATAATGGACACTTCATTTAGGTGCAGTAACATTATCATTGGGCCTCCTTTAAAAAAATTGCAAAATCTGTTCATTTAAACTTCATTTGGAGCTTTCGTGACTGCAGGAATTACTCTTTGGTTCTTTGGTTCTTTGGGTTATTTTTGTAGCAGAGGCAGTTTCACCAAATGTGTGGGTTGGCCAAAATGTAATTTTTTTTAATATATAATCTTCAAAGTCTATATTATAAAACAGGTCAGCACCTAGTTAAAGTGATTTTAAAAAATAATGACCTGAAGTGTATGTAGCCATGTGCTTCTGGGTTAAGTAATTTAAAGTTACAAGTTATTTGGTGTCCGTGTTACGATCATGTAACACTTGAATTACGTCCTGTCCATCCAATCTGCAGTGAAGTGCAACCCCCTACTTTGCCGTGATCTTAATGAAAACGCTGCATCTCGGCAGCATGCGGTGGTCAAGAACGTGAAATAAAATCAAGCGAAATTACGTGTCAAGCTTGTACCACCAAGACAAACACGGCAAATGAGATGCTGCCACCTCTTAACTGTGCAGCTTGGCGAAAGTAATTTTAAAATATCTAATTAAATTGTTGGGCATTCCAATACTGAGGAACGTACCATCGATGCGGATTTTGTAGGATTCAAGGGGTGTTTTCCAAAGGCCCTTTGAATCTCGGGGTATTTTGTTCCCCAAAATTATATTCATCAACTCACGGCCACTCGTCAGTTTTAATTCCTCTAATGTACCCGTGACATTTCAGGCAAGTAATTTAGATGTATATCTGAAGTTTAAATGAGATAGCACAACCCCTAACCTTATTCAGTACCTACCTCTGTTTTTACACCTTATCTGTAATAGGATGATTTTCTTGTAGACATTTGTATTTGTATCTGTAATTGCACTAGTATCATTTACTGACGTTATTTATTTTCCTAATTTACTACCTTGAAAGCGTTCCAGTTCAGCCTTTAACCACAATTCAACCACATTAAACATGATGCATTGCTATCGCTAATTTCATTATAACTTCTTTTTTTTACTTATCGTGAATTCTCTTACCATTAAAATTCTATTCCACGGTGTCCTAAACTAACAATCTCCGGATAAACATTTTCTGGATGGTCCAGCTTTGGAATGCTTGGCCAGTTCCACGTATTAAATTTTACATACAGTGAGGGAAAAAAGTATTTGATCCCCTGCTGATTTTGTACGTGTGCCCACTGACAAAGAAATGATCTGTCTATAATTTTAATGGTAGGTTTATTTGAACAGTGAGATACAGAATAACAACAAAGAAATCCAGAAAAATGCGTGTCAAAATTGTTATAAGTTGATTAGCATTTTAATGGGGGAAATAAGTATTTGACCCCTCTGCAAAACATGACTTAGTACTTGGTGGCAAAACCCTTGTTGGCAATCACAGAGGTCAGACATTTCTTGTAGTTGGCCACTAGATTTGCACACATCTCAGGAGGGATTTTGTCCCACTCCTCTTTGCAGATCTTCTCTAAGTCATTAAGGTTTCGAGGCTGACGTTTGGCAAGTCGAACCTTCAGCTCCCTCCACAGATTTTCTATGGGATTAAGGTCTGGAGACTGGCTAGGCCACTCCAGGACCTTAATGTGCTTCTTCTTGAGCCACTCCTTTGTTGCCTTGGCCGTGTGTTTTGGGTCATTGTCATGCTGGAATACCCATCCACGACCCATTTTCAATGCCCTGACTGAGGGAAAGAAGTTCTCACCCAAGATTTGACGGTACATGGCCCCGTCCATCGTCCCTTTGATGCGGTGAAGTTGTCCTGTCCCCTTAGCAAAGCATAATGTTTCTACCTCCATGTTTGACGGTGGGGATGGTGTTCTTGGGGTCATAGGCAGCATTCCTCCTCCTCCAAACACGGCGAGTTGAGTTGATGCCAAAGAGCTCCATTTTGGTCTCATCTGACCACAACACTTTCACCCAGTTGTCCTCTGAATCATTCAGATGTTCATTGACAAACTTCAGACGGGCATGTATGATGTGCTTTCTTGAGCAGGGGGACCTTGCGGGCGCTGCAGGATTTCAGTCCTTCACGGCGTAGTGTGTTACCAATTGTTTTCTTGGTGACTATGGTCCCAGCTGGCTTGATATCATTGACAAGATCCTCCCGTGTAGTTCTGGGCTGATTCCTCACCATTCCTATGATCATTGCAACTCCACGAGGTGAGATCTTGCATGGAGCCCCAGGTCGAGGGAGATTGACAGTTATTTTGTGTTTCTTACATTTGCGAATAATCGCACCAACTGTTGTCACCTTTTCACCAAGCTGCTTGGCAATGGTCTTGTAGCCCATTCCAGCCTTGTGTAGGTCTACAATCTTGTCCCTGACATCCTTGGAGAGCTCTTTGGTCTTGGCCATGGTGGAGAGTTTGGAATCTGATTGATTGAGTGCTTCTGTGGACAGGTGTCTTTTATACAGGTAATAAGCTGAGATTAGGAGCACTCCCTTTACGAGTGTGCTCCTAATCTCAGCTCGTTACCTGTATAAAAGACACCTGGGAGCCAGAAATCTTTCTGATTGAGAGGGGGTCAAATACTTATTTCCCTCATTAAAATGCAAATCAACTTATAACATTTTTGACATGCGTTTTTCTGGATTTTTTTGTTGTTATTCTGTCTCTCACTGTTCAAATAAACCTACCATTAAAATTATAGACTGATCATTTCTTTGTCAGTGGGCAAAGGTACAAAATCAGCAGGGGATCAAATACACTAAAATTCTGCGCAGACAGGGCCAACAATCCGCAATGTGATCTTGAAAAACTGGGATAAATTCGGGGTGCCCTGGTATACATATACACAAACAAAACTTCGCTACTTCTGTGAACATGCAGTTTAGCCCATTTACAGCTTGTAATGTTGATTTATTTTGCTAATATTTTGTGATGACAAAATATACAACCCTGCGGGTTGGCCGCACGAGGAAGCGTGACAGAACGGACGACAAGATAAAAAAAACACGGACATCGTGGCGGGCAAGCGAATCGGCAACTCGGCAGACGCAATGTCGGCGGCGGCGGCGGCGCTGACCTCGTAGATGACGCGCTGCACCAGGTCAAACTCCCCCTCGAGGGACGCGTCCAGCAGCAGGGCCAGAGGGTTGAACTTGACACGATCGCCCGTGCCCGTGCGCTCCGAGCCCGGCTTCTTCAGGTTTGTCCGCTTGTTCTACACACACGCCGTAAGTTGAGGATTTTATCGAATTTATGTACGTATTTTGAATTTCTTTTGCACCGTACGTAGCCAAATCGGAGGTGGGGGGTAGGACAACAAAGCAAGCACAAAAAGTTATTTTAAAGAATGCCCATATTGTTGCGTACTTGTGAAAAGTAACAATGTTATCCTTCATCGATTGGTTATGGCCGTGGAAATTATTCTCAGATTTCACGATACAATATATACGTTTATATATAAATAATAATTAATCAAACAGCGCTTTTGTCAATCCACTTACAGATGAAGGTCTCTGCATGCCTTTCAGTCAAGGGAGGTTGTTTGACGATATTTCACCGTGCTGGACCAGGTCAAATATCAATCGCCACTGATTTTAGTCATGGTCATATCTCAAGCCACCAGGCTCATAGCGCAGTGTGACAACCACAGTGCCACCATTCCACGCCATGTACGTTTATATGGGCATATAATAGTAATAATTACTATTATATTCTTGGTTCTTTTGGTAAAGTCACGTAGAAGGGAAACAATAAAATAATAAAAATATTATTGGTCTTTTGGTAAAGTCACGTAGAAGGGAAACAATAAAAGAATAAAAATATTATTGTTTTATATTATTGTTTTATATTTTTATTATTTTATTGTTAAAATAAAAATAAAATAATAAAAACACATTTTTTTAATGCGATTGTTTTATATTTTTATTATTTTATTGTTTCCCTTCTACGTGACTTTACCGAAAGAACCAAGAATATGAATCCCTGCAGTCACGAAAGCTTTAAATCAAAAATTACTATTATGTTTATTTACCCAAGAAAGCTACACCAAGTCACAATACTCTTTCAAGAGGGTTTGTGCATTATGATCTTTTCACTCGCGAGTATGATTGGCTTGTGCGAGGACATTGGAGAATCCGGAAAATATGCACGAGTATAAGGGGGTAGCGTTGAAATCTGCCCAAAAAATTGATGCAAGAATCCATTGCTGAACTATGATCACCTCGCCACTTTAAAGCCCAAGCCTAAAACTCCTGGTATTCTCAACCAGTCGCGCATCCAAGTTCCAATCAGGCTTAACCATCCATAGACCCCGAGATCTTAATAATGTCGTCCCAATCTTGGCTATTCGGTCGAAGATACCTGTGAAAACCAGGCCACAAAATATTTAAAAAAATCACTGCCTGAACAGCCGTGCTTACAGGTGGCAGGGTAGGTGGGAAGACGATGGGAGGCTTCAGGTCTTCCGGGTCGAGCTCCGGCTCCGGATCCTCGAATAAGTAGTGGGAGGGCAGCGTCAGATGGTCCTCGATCGAGTCTTCCGCGCCAATGTCACTGGGCGTTGTCACATCCTCCTCCGCCGAGTCGTTGTTGTTTGGCTCCTCTTCTCCTTGGGTGCTGGTCCCATCAGCCTGCTCCTCATCTGTCGACGATGGCGTCGTTGCTGCCACGCTGGTACCACTGACAAAAACGAAGAAATAACTGTTCATACGGGGGTTTTTTTTTTTGGGTTAGATCGCGTAAAATATATAAATGTATCATTAATCCCACCACCACCCGACACAGCCAACTAGTAAGGGTTGTCACGTAAACAGAACGTGTCAATTCGTTACTAGAACAGCACACCGGTGGTGGAGAGCTAAGCCACAACATTTACAATCTGATTACGACGTTTATAATTATACAATCTAACCCAAAAAATTATGGATGATATTGGCCACAAAAGCCTACGTGTTCAACTACAAAACATACTAATCCGATTCCTATTTAGTCCAAATTTAACATCAAATTTCACCTTAGTTGCTTGTATTTGTTAAGACACGTGTTGCTGAGGCTGTGTTTTACCAGAATGATTTTCAGATGAAACGTACAATTCTACAAATGACATTTTTTTCTGGTGATATAAAAGTTTGCTATAACTACAACATTTAAAAAATCAGTTGTTATAATAGAGTGAATGAAATAATTAACATGATCGAGGACCAATACGAATTATGGAATGATTGCAATCAACCTCGACCATTTTATTCAGTTTTTCCTCATTATAAGGATACTTTTCGATTTAAAGCTTTCGTGACTGCAGGGATTCATATTGTTGGTTCTTTGGTAAAGTCACGTAGTAGGGAAATAATAAAATAACAAAAAGAAAACAGCAAGAAAATGTTCTTGCTGTGGTTTTTACAACGGATGATGATTGCTTGTGCTGCAATCGAAACATCGTGAGAATTATTTTTATTATTTCCCTTCTACGTAACCTTACCGAAAGAACCAAAAATATAAGGATATTTGTTTGTACTCCCAGTTTTGGCAATTATACAAGAGCTATGCATTTTTTGTTTGACTACTAAAGAGCACAATTAACGTAGGTATTTTCGGGAGCGAAAAAAACTAAATAATTTACGTTCAAAATTGGAATCTAGTTAAATTAACCTGCTGATAGGCAACAAAGAAAATCAATACATTCTTCTGCAAATCACGTAAAGTTTGAAGTTCATGCATTAAACATGTGCAAAGAAAGCACTTCTCTGCACATAATGAACTATTCTCCTCCAATAGTGCTCGCATTGAACCAGCAAACTTGTGGACAATGAGTTGCAATGAACTCTATTTATTGCAGAGAAATTTAATAGTGTGAGCTCCACACCGAGCCATCGCATCATCCCAACACTCCCGCTGTATTGTTTCAGAGTAACTCATTGGATCAATAACAATTCTGCAGCTGTGCAAGGGTCCGATAATGCAACAATACGATGTACAAAGATAGGGGCATGTTATGGCCCGTTGGCTGGCTGCTGCATTACCAAAACAGAAAGGGTTTATTGCGCAGACTTGTTTTCTTTAATATTTTTTTTTATTCTTACCATTACTCATAGCAATCCTGATGGGCTCCCTGCGTACCTGCCAGGGCTGTTGGGGAGAGCGTTATCATTGAGGTCCCCCGGTGGCGTTCCCGATGGTGCGAGGGGGATGGAGGCAGGAGGAGGTGGTTGCTGAGGCGCTGGGTCGAGCTCACCAGGTATGTACTCACTGCCGTCCGAGTCCAGGCTCAAAAAAGCCGTGCTCGAATTCTGCTGCCCGTACTGCGATCAATGAGGCACGCGCACAAGAACACCAACGGCTTGTGAACTATGAGATGCGTATTGAAAAATTGTAGACTAGGGACATTTATCAACACGAGAGCAAATGCGCACGCAAGGCAAACACCTTCAATAATTAATTTTCTTCTTCCCAAATAAAAAAATTATGGTAATTGAAATTCATACAGCATCTAGCGGCATATATTACAATGCATATTAAAACCAAAGAGCTATTTTTTATGCAATTTAGTTTATGGAAGCATATTTTTAAACAAGCCTCACTGCTAGAAGACCATTTTTCAGGAGGTTCCTGCTTTGGGGTGTTTTTCAAATTACAAACCCATGCATACAAAGATATAATATTTAAAGGTCTGCACAGGTGGATACAAGATCCATCACTCTACTCCCACCTCCCAACTCAGGCCAACAACAGCCATGAAATATTATAGCCATTGCTCTACAAGCATCTTGAGATTAGGTCGCATTTGGATGCTATAGAAATCCAAATCGCTTCGTATTTGTTTTGAATTTACAAAACACCGTGAAGCTCAGCTGGTTTGGGAGTCTCACATTATCTTCATGATATGCCAACCCTTGTCTCCAAAAGTGCCAGATTAAAGGCGTGCTGTACCATGCCCGGCACAAACCAAACACCCTGATCATCATAGTCGCCATCATCATCATGTTTCAGGCAGGTAAGCGTGCAACGGCAAGCCCTTCTCTCCGCTTTGAAAACAATTCGCCGAACTCACGTCATACGGCGCATACGTGGGCAGAGGCGGTGCGATCTGCCCGAAGTCGCGTGCCGCACCCTCCTCCAGCACGGACAGCGTCAAGCGCTGGTACTGCAACTTCTGCAGAAGGTGTCCCGGGCTGGTCTGATGGTGCAACAAAGAGGCGGCGACCCCTCCACCGCCTCCTCCTCCGCCGCCGCCGCCGCCTCCGCCGCCGCCACCCAACCCTCCCAGGCTGCCCCCGAACCCCGTGCCGGATGTCTCTGGCTCGGCGATGGAGCCGCGCTTCTTGAGGGGCCGTGGGGCATGCTGGAGCTTGCGCCGCAGCGCCTCCAGGTCGGGGTCGTTCTGGCCGCGGAGCGGGGACATGCTGATTGGCATCAGCTTGGTGGGGCTCAGTGGCCGGGGAGGGTCGGCGTCTGTGCCCGAGGCTGTGGTGGGCATCGAAGCGAAGGGGGAAGCGTTGAGGTGTAAAAGGTGTATCAATTCATCCACTGTCCCCTAACGATTTTTATGAATTGTCGTCACGCAGCATTCATGATTCCAATTGAGAATACATTTAAAAACTTAAGAGGAGAATGGAGAACCTCTACTGCTTGCAGAGATCACATGATTCCACAATACCACGTAAATAAAAAGGTGAATTATTTTACACAATTTGATCCACAAACCTCAATTGCTATTCAATGATTAATCCATGTGATTCAATCAATTTTCGCAATGGAGGCTCACCATCCGTTGTGAGAATAGATAAAATAACATCTTTCCTTTGCATGGTAATCTCAGGAACAGTACGTTTCACAAAAAGTGGTGACCTGATGTCTCAAGGTGGTGAGAAGGTAGGATAATACTCTTTGGTTCTATTCGGTAAAGTCACGTAAAAAAAAACAACAAAAAATAAAAAAAATCACGACGTTTCGGCCACAACACAAATGGCCTTCATCAGGTGAAGGGACCAGACTGTCTCGAGGACAGCGCTGGAGTGAACACAGCCAAGCTCAGGCCGCGACCTTTAAGCTGTGTGAGAGGAAGCAGAGCGCCTTTACAAAGGAATTAGCATAAAAAATTTGCATTTAATTGGCGGACTTAGCATGATGAACGATGTACAGGGGGGGAGCATGTGCAGACCGGCGAGGGGGAGTTTACATATTGATGGTGTGAAAATGGAATTTAAGCAGCTGCGAAAGTTTGGGATACCACTACTTGAAAAAATATACTGTACCATTGAAAATTAGTTTAATGTTTGGTTTGATTCAGAACATCTTTCCAATGGTTGCTTAATTTGAAACCATCCTCTCGGTTGAAATTGTGTCTGTGTTTGTAAATCTGAATTGCCTCGTGAACAAATCTCTGATAAAAACCCGTGGTTTTGCAAAGAACCTTGGTATCGGAGAAAATTATATCGTGATCACCCACAGTGTTGTAACAGTGATCAGCTACGGCAGAAGAATTCGTTCTGCCGTGTTTCAAATCTCAGGGTGAGGTATATCATTAACGCGCATGTTCCCGCGACCAATAATACGTTTCATAGTCGATGCTTGGGTCCGAAGTGCAATGCAAATTTTCAGTTAATAAACAAAATAGCTAATCAGTTCATAAAACAAATCAATACTGTTTGTGTGTGTGTGTATATAATACCTGGGCCTATGCTTGAAGTTAATCCTTCCATTTCCAACTCCCTGTCCTCTTGCAGAGTCCGTGGAATCGGCAGTCCGTAAGGCAGTGGTGGACTGTAAGGGGGCCGTGCGGGGTCGTACGCTGGTAAAGGTTTCACCGGCGGCTTTTGGATGCTGCCAGCCGCCGAGGCTGGCTTCCCATACCCTTTAAACAGTTGGAGGCAGATGCACAACAAGACAGATATATATATTACGGTATGTCCATTGAATCATTGCAAAGACGAAGATCTCCCTCATCCTGAACAGACTTTTAGGGCAAGTGCTGTTAAGCGAGCACCTATGAAGGCCGGCACAGTGCACGAAGGGGTGGGTGGTCAGCACCACGCCAGACTCCTTTTGTCTCCCCATTGATGGTGTTAACACACCGTACCAGGTACTAATTTGAGGCTCAGTCGACCTAGGGGAGGCCCGGAACCAATTCAGATAATCGTCACTGTTGTTGGCCGTGAATGGGAATCGAGCTCGGGCTGCCGGGTTCGCAGTGCAGCACGCCAACCGCTGCACTTCCGATCATTGCATACACACAGCCGCACACACATCCACACACTCATTGCAGTGAAAATATATCTTCTTGATTTATGCTACAATATAATTGAGTGCCTCTGACCAAAACATCCAGAATGCACCCTATGTCATATACTAAACTATTTGTATTTTACAAGGGAAGGCCCTGCTGAGCGATATCGCTCCTTTTCAGAAGCAACCTGGCCACAATCAGAATCGGAATCTTGATTTATCCTGGAGAAGCTCTTTTTCATACTTGTCCTGTATTTCACAGATGTCCAGTACAAATGATAGCTCAACTTAGTGGCTTATCACGTGGTAATGTATTGCAGCCAAATACTCCCGAATACTGGAGGTTCAGTCGGCTTGAGCTGGACAGTGTTGGAAAGGAAAGGTGGCCAACATGCACAATCAGTTGCTATAGGTGGCTGCAGGACTGTGCCAAACTGTGATTTTTGCACACAGCGTTGAAATGCGGTGTTTTTTTCTGGAAGACTTTGCTGTTTTTTCTAGGATTTTTTTCTGTTGCGTGTAGTCACTGTTAAGATGTTTCTTGTTCATGTTTTTGTTTTGTTGCGATTGCACCCGAGTCAAGAGCCGCATGGCTCACAGGGTTATACCTAATTTATGAAATTGAAATGATCGGAAAAGGGCAATGCAGCAAAACCCATTGTAACGTGGATTTCTGTGCTCCGATATTTATTCTTCCCTCCTTCACCAACGTGCATTGACCAGCATGGTGAAGTATGGGGAAATAACCTCTACAAACTGATTGTGTTATACATGCACAAAAAAGTGTTTATATGTATAGATACATAATGCTTAAAATAATTTCACCGATGAATGCCAGTAAAAGTGGCAACTCTGAGGAATCCTTTGCAAAACTGCAAAAAATGACACCAACTATATCATCAGAAGCTGTTGATTTATGTCAGCGATAAATTTACGTGGAGATATTTTATACAAATAGTGGTGGGCAGTTAACACTGCGCTACGAACCCGGTGACCTGAGTTTGATTCCTGGCCTGTGGCGAGTGATATTTGAACGGGTCCTTCACAAACCCGTACTAACCAGCATAGCAAATCATGGTCAAACAACCCCCATGACCAGCAGTTATTTGACGAAGTGTTGCAAATTATTAATATATTATTTGTATGCGGCTCAGAACAGAAAGTCATTAATCCTGTCAAACAACCACTTAAAAAACACACACGATCAAGGAGCACATCAGGAGAAAGCCCAAGTGGCAAATACTCGCCAGCAGTAAGCACCCTTGTGATGGCTTTCCACGTTCGCAGCGCTATAGCAATTGTCATTATTACCGCAAGCATCCACCCGCTCTCTCACCTGCCGCGGCCGCCCCTGGCAGCTGCCGGCCCTGATTCTTGCCAAGCGCGGACAGCATGGCGTGCTGCAGCTGACGGGAGGGGCCTGCGTGCTGCGTGTACATCGAGTAAATGGAGCTGGAGTCGAGCGTGGGCGGTGGCGCCTGCTTGCGCGGAGACTGCGACCTCTGCAGGCTGTCGGTCGGGCTGGGCGAGGGCCGAGTGGCGGCCACTAGGACGCCCGGCGGGGCGACGTCCGCCCGCGCCTCCAGGTAAGGGCCGCTGCTGCCGCTGCCCCCGGACTGCAACGAAGGTCTCGGGCTGCCGGAGGTGATCCCCTGCGGTCCGGGCTGCAGGTACGACCTCGCTTCACCCGCTTGAGGGTAGCCGCCGCTGCCGCCGCCACCACCGCTGCCGATTGTGCTGCCGCAGCTACTGGATACCTGCTGCTGCGACAGAGGACTTCCGGACCCCAACTGGTATTGAGGTCTCGGGCCGCTGCCACCACTGACGAGGGATGGCGGGTACACTTGCGACTGCGTGTACGGGGTACTGCTGCCGACACCCTGCTGCTGCAGGTAAGGGCTGCTCACTCCTGACTTTGACTGGGTGAAGAGCGCGCTCGATGGCGGCTGCATTGGGGGGTGATAGGGCTGCTGGAGGGATGAGGAGGACGACGAGGAGCCAGTGGACAGGGCAGGGGAAGCTGGGCGCGGTGGCAGCTGTGTCTGGGGAGCCAGCCCGCTCGGGGGTACCACGATCCGCTGCTGGATCTAGGGAACGATGCCAGCGGGAACATGAACCAGGTCATTTCTGGTAAGCGCACTAACAACGAACGTCGGCGCTACCTTTATTCAACATAACTCGGTTAATTTTTTCAACTTCACGCGACTCGTTATTCAAACACCACTTGCATGTAATATAATTAAACTCTGAATGATATAACTTGGCAAACAAAGTTGATAATTGAAGTGAGATACAAGCAATACAAAAGGTTCAGCCCTATGCACATTACGACTAGTACATGGTGTGAATATTATTTTTAAAACAAAATAAATTTAACGTGTTATAAATCTGCTATCATTTATATGACTCCTTAGCACACCATGTTCCAAACAGCCCTCTTACGAGCTCTCATAGATTTCTTAGTGCGAGTAGAAAATGCATATTATTCCATTAAGTATGCACTGGTGACATATGTGCAACCCATTCTTAATAATGTTAAACCTGACAGTTCTACTGAAGCAACATACCTCATTTGTAAGAATGTCTGAAATTAATCATCCTAGGCCAATGTACAGATTCTTAACAATTTTCATGAGCCAGTTATGGCTATTACAATTGTGAAACATCAGCATACATGACTTTAAAAAATATAATTTATCATGTAAAACTCAGAATCCGAATCATTTACAACTAGTACTATGTGTAAATAATTAATTAACAAATTCCATTTATACATAAACAGCAAATGCCTGATATTCTTGGTTCTTTCGGTAAAGTCATGTAGAAGGAAAACAATAAAATAATAAATAATATCTAAAACTATTTAATTATCACGACGTTTCGACTGCAACACAAGCAATCATAATCAGGTGTCAAAACCACAGCAAGAAAATTTGAAAAAAGTGGGGGTTTTTTCTTAACGTTAGCACCACGGACAACGATTTGGCAAGCTTTAAATCAAAATTTTAAAGAAAATGCCTGCCTTCAAGTAAAATCTAGGCATGCAACAATAGATCGATTCAGCAGAAAAATATCCATTGTTAGGCTCACAAAGCTAGCACCGAATCTTGCTTGAAAGAGTTCAATATTAAAAATGTGTGCACGGGTTAAAATCAATTCACGTAAACCCTACAGCAACTGGAGATTTAACACCTTCAACGTCCAATCGTTCATTTAAACGTTTTTTTTAATGGAATCATGAACCCCCCAAAGTGTGACATTTCCATGAATCGTGAGGCAAGGGTGGTGGGCGGTGCGACGGAGGGGGCGGCCTTGGGTAATCATCACATGCCAAGTACGATCGCTGTTCACCTGTCGTGACGTGCGGGGCTGGTCTTGGGAGAACTGCTTTGCCGGCTGCCCAGGCCAAGTTCCATTGCCAGTCATGGCGGGGCCTACCGAACGATCCCCCAGCGTACCACCGTTGGGTCTCCGGTCCAGAGTGCCGCCCATCGGCAAGGGATACTCTTGAGGTCCTGGCTGCCTGGGCCGTACTTGACCTTGCCCGCTCACCCCAGCCCAACTCTGTGAGAAAAACCGAAGAGACGTGCGTTTCGCAGCGAGAGGCTCTTGTATAATTAAATACGGTGTGGAGGACACGAGGAATAATCATCAGCAATCTTCATCGTGAAGTCTTTCGACAATACCGGATGTCTCTGCACTGTTTAAACTGATTAGATTATAGATTGTCAATCGCACAATAGATTTTCGCGTCTAGGGTGAAAAGCGCAACCATTTAGCTTCTTTTACTTGTACCCGCATTTCAAATTCATAATTAGCATTTGCAAATTACCCAAAGGTCAATTTCTTGAAGTGTGCGATTAATAAAAGTGTATAATTAGCTTTAATTATCCACACCCACACCTCGCTTTGTGTTTCGAAGCGAGCAGTTGAATGCCAATAATTAAGTTTAATTGCAAAAAATTCTCAACGCACGGTTAACTCTGAAGCACGTTTAAGAAAAGTGCATGTATGCTTTGTACACATCAACATGTTTATCGCTTACCTGTCTAATGCTGGACGGAGGCTGAGAGCTGTCAATGAATTCTGTCCTGAGCATAGAAAGAGTGCTGGCATCTACAGAACAAGAAGACGGATTCAGATATACGTATACGACATAAAGAGAAACGCATTTTTTTTTAAGATGTCATTTTAAGCACAGTTTCATTTGGAGGTACATTTGAAAACACGGTGGGTATAGAACAGCTAGAGCCATGGGAGTCGTGCTCTGGGGTGTTTGGCCAAAAACTTTGAGTAAACATTCAATCTTCCCTCTCCGATTCCATGTCTGTGTGACGCACCAACCAAACCTGCCCTCAAGTCACTCGGCTGCATTTGGGTACCACCAGATGTGTACAAGGGCAGGGTTGGATTTGTATATGTAAACATGGCTTTACATATACAAACTCCGCAGGCAATGCAGACATAACTCTCGAAGTGTTTTTTTTATCATCAGCAGCCACAATCAATCCACTGTTGAATGAAGGCCTCCCCAAGTTGTTGCCGTCTCTCATGGACTTGCGATGCAACAATCCAACGAGCCCCCATACACGATCTGAATTCATCGCTCCATCTCTAAGACGGACGTAGTCTCAGGCGCATTCCCTGGAAGCGTTGGCTGCCACTCCGTTCATATTCTCGACAACCGGCCACCATCCCTTGTCGTGATGTGCCCTGGGATTGCAGTTAAACTCATGTTGTAACCTGATTTCTAATTCACGTGTTCCTCTTTCTATCTCTCAATGCGATTCCAAGTATGCACCTCCCCAGGCCTCTGCACCTTTCAGCTTTTGTTAAATTTCATTCGTGAACAATAATGTTTCTAAATCATACATCAGAGCAGGTAATATGCACTGATTAAAAACATAAATTTGCCGTGTTAAATGTCTATCGCTTGTGCAGTCACTTCCACCCTTGTGCAATAAAGAACATGGCAGGTATTTAAAAGAAATCCAAGTTATTTTTGACACTTGTGATAAATGGGTCAACCAAAGAGCACAAGCAGGGATGACAGCGCGCTTTGCTGTCACACCCGGGGTGTTACATAAACAAGTGTGACATCCAATGCGGGGCCATAACCATGCAGGTTTGACTACATCCACCGTCAGCTCCACATGTTGCCATTAATGTAAAATTTCTAAGCAACACGACACTGTACGGTATCGACAAGTATTTCTACATCAAGGGATACAGATATAACTAACGTATTCCGCGACCTAACATTATCCAAGTCAATGCAAAACGGATTAACGGTGCGTGTTCAGCGTGCAATGGTAACATGTGAAAGGCGACACTTCCGTGTATTTGTGGGCTCATGAATTTTGCATGTTGTGGCATGCATTAAGGCAAGCGATGCGGTGAAATATGACGAATTAAGGGAAAAAAGACTGCAAGTGTCAGCGGCACCTGGAAAAGCCACTACATTCCACCAAAGAACACCTGCAACCCTTTTTGTGCAATGGCCTGTTGGGTTCAGCTCTGAATACTTTCCCCATCCGAAGAAACACAGCAGCGTACCTCACGCGCTTATGGCGCGACGACTAATAACAATCTTGGCAATTGCAGTCAATCAACACCCACCACATCGTTTTCCACACCCCCAACAACATTATAGGTTTCCTAACCTTGACCTAATTTAAATCTTCAAAGGCTTCCCTCCCTGCCGCAAGTCAATATCACGCCTAATTTTTCTATGCCGCCAGTTACATTATAATTCGTCGTGTGAATGACACATTAAACTTCAGCAGTTAATGGCGTCGCTTATAAAAACACTGGCAAGGGAGTCAAAGTTATGGCTCAAGATTCCAACAATGGAGTGAGTTCAGAACACTAGCATAATATGACTTTGGGACAACCCACCGCCTACACATTCCGCAAAGAGTGACTAACCCCATATCTGCATTTGTCATCAATATGCTAAATTTCTCCGTTGATATGTAAACGCCTTTGTCAAGGCTCTCTCCTCCTCCCACCTAGTTTAAAATACGCTGCCAAGTTTAGCAGTGTTCATTAAGACACTGTCTTTCTGACAGCTCTGTTTCTTCACCTGAGGACGGCTGCTTGCGTTGTGGCCGAAACGTCGTGAGAATTATATTTTATTATTTTATTATTTCCCTTCTACGTGACTTTACCGAAAGAACCAAGAATATGAATCCCTGCAGTCATGAAAGCTTTACATCGAAATTTCCAAAACTGGTCAGGGTGGGTTGGTTAAGTGGTGGGGGCAGGCAGGATTGGTTCAGATGTCACTCGTCACGAATGTTAACCATAGCCAGCAATATAACTAGGTTGAGGTGCTCATAGCGCAGTGCACTAACTGATCACTGTGCTGCCACACCACTCCCAGAAACAACATCATAATCATGAGTTATCATCACAGCAAGCAATGCGAGCATTAAAGCATCAAAAAGAAAGTTGAAAATCGGTCTTCACACACAACAACAGATACTAATTACAAATTAGTATTTCGCATCCGCATGACTCAATGCACTTATCGAGCGTAACAATCAATTGTAATCGACGTATCGTTACGTCTTCGCCTCCAACTATGCATCTCGGCATTGCAGACGCGATGTACACCACCGTGCCCCGCTATGCGTCTGGCCCCGCGGCACGGTGCCGCGTGGTTCACCGTGGCTGCCGGGAGACGTTGCCCTGCCTTGGTTTGCGAGCGGGACGTCGAGACTCGACTCCTTCCAGTCGGCGGAGCCGAGCGTCGCGCGGCTCAGCGTAGAGGACTGGGTTTGGCTGCCACCCAGCCGGGCCCCCTCGCTCGCTGCGCAACACAAGAAAGTGCACGATAATGCACGAGTGCACGCAACCATGTGAAGGGTCATCTGTAATTATTATCACCCGCTATGCTGGGGGGGGCGGGGGGGGGGTGGTGGGATGAGGGGATGGGGTGCAGAGGAGGGAAGGGGGAGGTGGATGCAATGTCTCCCGGATTGCATTGGTAAACAGCAAGCGGTCATGGGTGATGAATTAGATTGTTAGGTAGAAATAGTAGTAATCGAGAATAGAGGTTTGTGTTATTTGACCACTGATATTTCGTAATTGTGTTCTAAATCTAAAATAAAATAATAAGCTTTCATGTAAAAACATGAAAGTACATACATAAATGAATCGTACTCCACAATGAAAACCGGCATGTCCCAAATGTGTAAAAAAAGGATTATTTTAATCTACATAAAGGTATCACAACTCAGTGAACTACATATATAAACCAACGTGTTAAAAACGACTGTGCCGGCATGTTTTTTTTTATACCGGCTGACTTTTTTTTATCGCTTACGATTCTTTGATATATTCCCTTGATTTCCACCGCTTGCATTTCACAAATCAAATGAATACTGTGAAGCAAATAAACTGCATTTCGTCTTATTCCAAAGCATCTCATGACAGGAAGAGGTGAGGGTGCAGTTGGGGGCGATCAGGAACAATAATGCTAATTATAAATGAGCCCGCACATTATATTGTTACAAGCAATTTGAAATGCAAACAACTATGCAGTCAAAAAAAATCTACTTCTAGAAATAGCAGCAGTATATAGAAAGCTCAAAACACAAGATATAATGCAAATGCCCAGCTGCAGATTGTAGAGTGTCATTTTCATACACAGGAATGCAAACATGCAAGATCAATGTTCTAATGATTGATATATTAGCAGCTAGCTAGGCAAAAGTTTACAGCTGAGATTAATAGAAATATCTTGATGACAGAAATCATCATGAATCAATTCAAGAGAGAGAAAGAAAATTTCAAGAAATATGATCAGGCTTTAACTATTCCTACAATTTTTTTTTAATGTGCAGACTTTTTTTTGGAAAACAAGGCGAAGGAAAGCATCGCAGAATTTCTATGAAGGATAAAACATTCCCCTCTGTGGCCTCAAAAAGTGGCTGGCCTTGCTTTGTACTCATGTTCGCAAAATCCAGGTCCGATTCGGCCCAAAATCCTTTAGGCTTTAAATCATAACGTGTGACCCCTGTGCAAGGGCAAAACCACATACAGGCTTACGCACTCAGTCCTGCTCAACATTATACTGCAGTGTGCTAATGAAGTCAGTTGACATCCTCTTTAAGCGTACCAAGAACATAAATGCACCGCTACCTGTTTTACCAATTACTTTGCACTGTACGTAGCGGAAAGACCGGTATATTCACAAATATATTGTTTATGGAACGTATTGTTTGCTGCTTATGTATTTATGATGTTGGCTATCTTGGTTGATTGCTGTATATCCAAATAAGTAAGGACTCTGCTGGTGTCAGCATATCATGTGATTATATCATACGAACATACGTTACTGTAGATGATTGCTAGTCTACGTGAGGAGCGTGGTATTTAATGGGTGGTAGTTACATGTAGAAAGCATAACATTGCAAATAACAAAACATAATTTCAGAGTGTACAGATCTGATTTTAACAAAACGCTGCAATCTGTTTAGAGCAGTCTGACATAGGCATGAATCCGTCACAGCTGTTAAACGGTGCATGTTACTTTGAAGCTAAACTCAATCACACTGCTCACCCGTCCTGAAAATGTTTGTGGGCAATAACGTTAGCCTGAACGGTCCCCACTCTTCACCAGCAACTCTCACGTAATAACAAGAGCAGCTGGGCCGTGCGATTTCAGCGCGGGACAACCCTGTCACTCACCCTCTCGCGCGGCAGTTGTGGGGGAGCCGTATGCCTCGCTCCCGGGGGTCCTGAAGGCCGTGGTGCCATCGGGAGGGCCCAGGTTTGTAATGAAGGGCCCTACTGCCGCCACGCGGCCGGACACGGCATTGGGGATTCTGCCCCGTTCCGGAGATGGCGCTATAGAATCCTAGAGTCATAAACGATAAAAAATAAAAACAGTGAAAACAATCTAGCTTGATGTTACACACGTGAGGGCTCAACACGGGCAACGCAATTTGACAAGATGCCAATAGGTTGTGCTTTATTGCCACAATAAACGGAGACCAATGCAAAACCACATGGATGGTCGATCGTTTCAAGCAGTGATGGGTGCAATTGATTCCAATATATGGTTATGTTCACGCTTAGGCGTTGAATTGATTCTGGGATTGATCAGCCAAAAAACTAATTCGGCCCAACCCTGTATGAAATCAATCCACAACCTTCCACAAGTTCCAATTTTAACGTGTGGTTTTTTTTTCTGCATGCCTTTTTGATAAGATGTGAAAGCAAGTAAAAATGTGCCGACGTAAAATACACCAAAACTTTCTTCACAAACAATAAATTATTACATGTTAAGGTTCACACACCCAACATTTGTATTTATGTGATTGAACACAATGTAAAAAAAATACAACACGATGCCTTCATCAATGTGCAAATAGCTTCTTTTTACAAGCTGGCCCTCATTAAAAGCAGTCATGGTTCTTTATCGTGCGCATGTGATTTGGTCACGACAACAGCGCACAAGAGGTTTACTGCTGCCAAGATTGCCGAGCGATCGTTTATTTTCACAAGCGAGCAGGAAGGACGGCGGGTTAACGTTGGCTGTGATGAACACCGCCACAGTGGAGCTGCTTGGTCAATCCGACATTTACAAAATGAAAGCTCCACTCCCCTGCCCTTACACACACACTAATCCACAGCTATAAAAGTAAGCAGGGAAAAAAGTTATGATTTACTGCATTGTGAAGATTATTCACGCGCGTTTAAACAACATCAATGTACTGTACAAGCGCCACCACAAAGATTTAAATTGATCAACTTCCAGGTACCACCAGACCATTTTCGGTCAGACCACGCATAAACGCAAGTGAACAGCTCGATGTGAAAAAACATGATCATTGCTCTACCAGCAGTAAAAATAATTAACTAGATCGATTAATTGCCGTTTAACGCAGTTAACATGATACGATGACATCGAGGTGTGAGCCCAGCCCAGCATGGGGAGGAACATCACGGGAGCTCGCGCCGAGAGGAAGTGCTGGCACATACAAGTTAGCCGTCGATCTCCGACACAGAATTTGATAGTGATGGAGGGACAGATGCATGGTACGTGCAGGCCGAATGTGAACAATCGCACCTCCGATAAGCACGGTTGGCTACGTACGACGCGAAAAAAGTCCAACTCGCACACACACACACATTATACCACTTGTAAGGGAGACCTGGGAGCTCACCGTGCCCCCGGTGCCCAGCTTCTTCTTCAACATCTGCTCCCGAAGCTCGTTGATCCGTCGCTCCATCTCGGCCGTTGCACCATTGCGCCGGTGCTGCTGCCTCTGGTTCTGCTCCTGCTGTAGACGGTTCCTCGTCTGCAGGACAAAGGGTGATGCACCTTAGCAAAGCCACGGTGCACTGCACCTGCAGTTAGGAAACTGTGGCGACTTCCTATTAACCGCAACTTGTATATGCAACATTCAAGAATTGTAATGAGAATTTCCCAGGGGGGCTGAATGAAAATATCATTCCAGTGTTTTTTTTTACATAGACACCAGTGTGAACTGCTTGGCCAAGCGAAAATTAAATGTTAACATATTAGGATAGCTCTTATGATAAAAAAACAGGTAATCATCCATCAACATGTGAAGCTATACAATATAATTTACGGAAAACGGAGAATAAAATGTGTCCGCGTTATTAGGACTACATAATGATCCTTCACGTATACATTGAGGAAATCAACATGGCCTGCCAAGCGAGTTACAATTTCCACCGCGTGGCACAGGAAGTAAAGAACCAATTATGTACACACAAGGGGGTCCCCTAACCCCTTCATTTCCACACTTCAAATGTAGATCCTCAAAACAGCATAGCCTCATTAAGACGAACACAGCTTGCTTAAAAGGAGGCCCTGTCTTGTTTGAGAGAAGACTACATAGTTTGTAAGGGGAGTTATTTTGGTTGACAGCCACACAAAATGTCCTATTCTTGCCAAGAGTGTGTTGGGCTTGTGTATACATGCTCAAGGGACACACGGTTCCATCGGCAAAACCACACTCTTGTAAAACATCATCAACAATTTTCGACTGAAGATTGTCTTCAGAGATAGAACAAAAACTTTATTGGTGACAATGCACCATATTAATCCAGCTACTAGTATTTACAAGTCTTTGGGAAATTGGGGCGTCTGTTACCAAATGATGATTACAAAACAAGTACCCAATTGGTAATATTGCAAGGTTTCATTATTGCTGCATCGTTGTCAGTCAGACAACTATATTAATAGCTACTTCCTCAAAACGGAGTACAGACTATCCGATAATGTAGGATTTCATTGAAAATAGCTTGGTGCTCAAGCAGTTATTTAGTGGTTATGACATAACGATACCCAGATCTCCACGTCACTCAACGGTCTCCCAGATCACCAGCGGATCAACTTGTACAAAGCAACCTTTATTGGCTTTGCCCCAGTGGTCGTTCAAGCCATAGTCCTCCAGCCTCATCTCTTAAAACCATTCTTGGCTTCATCAATACCTGCCTTCCCTCTAATTAGATATCAATCTCTATTCTCTGGATAACCCATTTCCCCCCACCCCCAAATGCTTGTAACCCTCCTTTGTTAAAAGTTAAATTTGAGCAATCAACACACTTATTTTACCTCCTATAATTGCCTACGTGTACACATCACCTTCTGTACATCATCCTTGAATTATGAATGTTTGTTAAATTTCACAAATGTCACGTGACAACCATAGAATACAATTAAAGCATCATACTATATGAATGCATATAATACACAGAACCAAGTATTTACTATCACTTGCGCACTATTGTCCTAGACGTGCAGCAACTCAACATACTCTCGCAGCTGTAAAAAATAAAGTAAAATTATTGATCTCAATATCAACTTTCCCCGTGCTACAGTGGCCCTGACGTTAGAGCAATGAGCCAGCACAACTATGATCCTGGGTTGGAATAAGGGCATCCACCCATTTTCAAGTGTTGCAAGTTAAAGATCTCAACCTGGTTAGAAAAATCTCTGTAAACCACCCCTACACCCTGGTCAAAATTCCAGCTCTGAAAATGTAAAACACCAGTTGGACTGCCATTCGAGGAATAATTCTCCATAGCAGGCAATTCTGTGACACAGGGTAATGCCCTGCTCTGCGAGAGCTCCAAATGGACACTTTCATGACATGGACGCTGATAGCACAAAGTGCATGAAGCCGTGAATGAAGGTTGAACACGAAAAAACGACTTGGACAATATGGAGTTTGTGTTTTCTCTATAAGGGAAAGGATGCAGATTGAAACAGTTTTAGCCTAGGATTGCGAATATTCACGCGAAGGCAAGTGAGGGCAGCCTTGGATAGTTTCGACATGTGTCGTGAAGAAAAGATGCTATTTGGAGGGAAACAATGCAGAAAGAGTAGAGGGAGACTGAGGGCGAGCTAAAAGGTTAAGGTTGAACAAGAAACGCGGGATGGTGGACGTGACGAGCGAAGTAGAACAGACCAGAAGCACATGAAAACAGACATTTCCGAGCAGTTGACCCCAAACATACAGTGAGACTTTTGGCTTAGAAGGAAAGCAAGAAAGGAGGAGGAAAGAAGGTAAGGAAGGAAATAATAAGCTAAGGAAGAAGGGAATGACAAAGAAGACGAAAAGATGAAAAAGGAATGAATTATAAAGGAAAGAAAAATAAAGTAAAAATGACCAACAAAGCCGAATGCAAAGGCGGAGGCACGAGAAGGCTTGCCCCACCTGCAGCTCGCGGTAGAGACGGTCAAGGTCAAGCACCGCCGAGGCCAGCTGCTTGCCGAGGTTCGCGTGGCAGAAGCCGTTGGACTTGCCCTTGCGCAAGTCCTCCAGCTGCTGCGTGAGCTCCTCCACACGCGTCACCGCCACCGACAGCTCCCGCTGCTTCTCCGTCAGGAAGCTGTTCATCACCGTCAGCTCCGACACTGCTGGGGCAGAGGCACGGGGGCGACACAGGGGACGTGCGGGTGGGAGAAGAAGGGACGATGGTGAAGGGGGAGACGTGGGAGTTGATAGCAAGATGGAGTTGACTCGCGTATTGATGAATGGTGCTCTGCAAACGTGATGCTGTCAACTTGCCACTTTTGTCAGAATGCCCGACTAGTTTATAGCTGAAGATCGTGCAAAATTCAAGTCGGTCAATATTTTTTTACGTTTTTCGACTATGAAAGGTGGACAACTACCCAAAAACAGATTACTAAATACCTTTCTGTTATAAAGTAATGTAATGAGAGCAAAGGGGGTGGTGAGTTTGTTTGTGTTAATAAACTATTTCCAAATCAGCTTTTCTTTTACTTTAAAGGAAATATCAATATTTTGTCAACAAACCAACATGGCACTTAACATTATACTGCCAACACATTAAAACATATATTGTGTTTAATCATTTGAGAATTAAATTATTGAATATGTATAAATGTAGTATTCATTTTTCAAATTATGCTTTCTGCACTTTTATTGATCAGACGTTAGAATCCGAAATTTTGCTGTACAGTACTCATTTAAACCCAGGTATGGTTAGAGCAGAATAGATTTTGTTGCACTGCCCTCTGCTGCCCTCCATGTAGCATAAGACACCTGTTTTATGCACGGAGATCACTCACCCACGCACTATCTGAAATCAACCATGCTTAGCTTCTGAGATCTGATGAATCAGAGCATTTCTGGTGAATCAGAGCATTTCCAATTTGGTCATCGGGTTCTAACCAGAATATAAATGAACATTATGCATCTCCATCTAACTTCTAAAACTTAATAATAAGAAGACTATGTATGTATGGATGTTGAACTTCCTTCACAACTCTAGTAGCCAACCATACTAATCGGGAGGTGTGGAGGAAGGCGAACAAACAAAACACAAAAAAGTTCTAAACAAATAGTTCACCAACTTTATGCATACATGATGAGGCTTAATGAACAAGCAGAACCCACAGAGATTATTGTTGAGCAGCTTGGGCTGGTCCACCTGGCCTCTCATGGCACGGATCTTCCTGATCTTGGCCTCCTGGCTCTCGACACGTTCGCGCAGACGTTGCAGCTTCTCCGCTTCACCGAGGCCTGCCTGCTGCCCCTGCTGCTGCCTCAGGTGCTGCACACGCTGCTCCTGCAATCACACCAGATATGGGGGGGACCGCTTTGGTCAATCCACTGCTGGATGAAGGACTCCCCCCCCCCATGTTGTGACGGTCGATTGCCACGCTGGTCAGTGTTGTGGCTGGTGATGATGTGGGGCACAAGGTTCAAATACAACCCGTGGCTAAGAATCACACTCTGGGCACCGGTGAAGTGGGGGGGGGGACCGTTTGTTTTATAATAATGATTTCCATTGGCCCCACACCAACAATTGTCTTTATGCAGCGCCGACAATGACAGCACACTGAGACGCAATCCTCTTTCCAGCCTTATCTCACTGGCCAGGAACATTGGCCATATGATGTAAAGGACTGCATTGTTTAATCAACGTGTTCCTGTTTGTAGATGAAACGGGCCTTTTTTAATCGAAATTTTAAACACACTTCAAGTTAAAAAATAACATTTACATTGCACTAGTTTACTTTTTGTTTATTTACATATAAATACACATATTTGAGTATAAATAAATATTCTTAATCCATTACAAACTTGTTCCACTCATCATTTGACTTCAATTTTGTATAAGAATTTATCCCCCCAAAAATGTAAAACTGCCTGGAAGTAGTTTTTTTTTTTTTACAAATATTCAGTCACATTATATTTCACGAGACCAAATTCAAAACCAATAGAATCCAGAAGCTATGAAGCTACTTTCAATTTCACTTTGGAGATAAACGTTCAAACCAATACAACCTGAAAACCCACTGTTGAACATTACCTTATAAGTTTGTCTCATTTTTTTTAATGAATAAATTGAGCTGGGAAATTATTTGAAAACATACATATAGGTGGAGCAAATGAGGTTTTCTTTTTAAATAGAATTAAAACGTATCTGAAACTGGAGCAGAGGCAAATGGTTACATCAGAGTATAATGAGGTTATTATAGCAGATTTAAAAAGAACATTTTCTGCTATATGAGGTCAGGCAACAGTCCTGCATTTTTCACCATTACAATTATTGCACACACATGCAGAGGCGTTGCTGTATTTTCTCATTACAGTTAAGAATAGAAAATCTGCATTAAAGAGAGCCAGAAATACATCACACTACAAAGAGTTGACTCAATCGCCATTGCGACCTATACCACATACTTTTACCATATTCTCCGGATTATAAGACGCTCCGGAAAGTAACACCCACCCCAAACTTCTGCCCGGTGTCAATAAAGCTATTCAGATCTGGTCTAACAAAGACTCCCGTATAGCTTTCAACATATTGTTGAGAAAAGTGCTGTCAGCAAGCACCTATGAAGGTCGGCACAGCACATGAGGGTGGCTGGGTGGCCAACGCCACGTCCAGCCGCCTTCATCTCCTCAGTGCTTATGTTTACACACTGCAATAGGAACTAGTTTAAGGCCGATTAGCACGGTTGGTTACGTACTGTGCGGAAGAAGTTCAACATACATACGGCTGCTACAATCCTTCGACGGTCCCTGGGAGACAGGCAGAGTAGGCTATGCAAAGCAATGTTTCCAAAGACCAATTCAAACCCCCTAACCCTGATCTTTTACCAGAATTGTGGAGTCAGTGTGGGCAAATGGCCACATTTAAAACAAAACATGCCTGGGCAGGGACGCCGTTATGAGCTTTGAGTTCCTAAGCCTGCATGAAATGACAGCCTATTGTCCTAAATGCTAAAATAATAGGATTAAAATAAACGAGTAGGTCTAAAAACGTTAAAAGTCTGCCAAAAAAAATACATTTGACAGTGCAGTCACATGTTTTCTAGTGGACCATGCTTTATTCCACACTTTTTTCCATCACACACCTTCATTTTACATCTTTTGTCAACCCACTGCTGAATTCCTCCCCATTCCATGTCTGTCATGAGATGGATGTTTGACCATGCTTTAGCACACTTTTCAATTCGGATTGGCAAAGGGGGTGGCCAGGACCAGTTCAGATATCACCACCAATGTTAGGTGTGGCTGGGAAATAAACTCAGGTCGCTGGGTTCATTGCGCTGTGCGCGAAACCACAGGCTTATGAGAATGTAAAAAAAAATCCGGGCATTACCATGAAACAGAACACCACAGATACATGCCTTGGTATCATGCTGTACATCTGGTTACATGACAGTCTACGTTAAACACTGGTCAGCTACACATTGAAAGAAAGCATACATCTCCATACATTTTTAGTCACTGGGAGGTGAGGGGGGTGAGCAGGTTTGGATGCAAGTTACCTGCTGACGAGTAATGTCGATGGATAGCCAGTAAACTAGAGTTCCCTGCTCACAGTCGTGCACCATCAGCCGCCGCTCCTCAGCACACCGCATCGTGTGCCACAACTGGCACACCCTATGGCGCCTCGCTTTTATCCCGGCAACATAAACGCACGCTCTGCCCGGTGAAATTTCTGGCCTCAAGCGGGGCCATGGCAGGCCAAGTGGCCAAGAGCGAAGAGATCGATTAAGGCAACATTTCTGGCTGTTCCACTTGTGGATTGGGGAAACAAAAGTGCAGTAATCACGAAAAGGACGCTATATAAGGGAAAGCACTTAACAGATACTTCAGAGATGGGTGCTAAGTAGGCCACAAGCAAAAGCAGATACGGGCGCACGGCAAAATTTTGCAAAGAGAGAAAGCATCAACGCGGTATCTCAACTGAGCACGGCACCGGCATGGATTGGTGGCCTCGTAGAACTGCATCCCCCCCCAAACGAACTTCTGGCGAGGGGGTTGGAAATTAAGTTCGGTGGGGGTGGGGGTTAGCACCAATTGTTTATATGCCACAAAAAACCGTTCTCTGCACAGAATGTCAGACCATGCCCGCGGCACCGATCAATCCGCATCCCCTGGCTTGCACTCTCTTACTCTCTCCCCACCATGCGGGCAGCTCAATAGCGTCGAGCGGGGGGCGGGGGGGCAGCGGGTGTCTCCAGGCTACAGGACAGTAATGGCCGAGCTAATGTGGTGAACAAACACACTTGTATGTTGCCGCTTCAGGCGTCTGCGTGTACACATTCAGATATTTTCTCGTGAAAAAGTAACTGGAAAATATCTGAACAACATCAAGGCAACTTGTTCACACTTTCTGGGACAAACGATCGGATTTACAAAAGCCGGCCCACCCAACAGAGTTTTACGTTTTTTCTTACACATGTATTGTACGGTACTTAACAGGCACAGTAACAAGCCCACATGGCCAATTTTTTTCAAGCTAGTTTAAAACTGAATACATAACAAAAATCAGTGCAATAAATCAGTGCAATAAAAGTCACAGCGCATGTTTACACTTTATAGGTCAGACTTATCGATACGTCGTGCTCAATATACACTTGGAAAGACAGCGGAGGAATTACCTTCAAATCGGAATCGGACGCATTATCCATTGCGCGCATCAAGTTCGGAGCCGCCGCAAGGCTGCGCGACTATTTTCGTCGCCACATCAACCTAGCGCTTCACGCTGTGTAGGCAGCAATAAACGTCCAGGACGTGGCCAGGTGGGTCCGAGGGCTGTCAAGCCGACGGCGAGTGACCAGACCTCACAACGCGACGCCCAAGCGATCCGACCCGACGACGGGCGAGCGTTCCTTGTGGGCAGATGTGAAACTTGGCAAAGAGCGGAACACTTTGTTGCGGGTAGACACTTTCAGAGGGGCATGGTCTGCCCCTGCCCGCCCCCCCCCTCCCAATGCGTCATAAATGCACCACGCCCGAGCCCCGCTAAACAAATCACTCCCCTACATGGAGGGTGCCGCCTGGCCTGGCGTGTGTCTTGCCCCGTCAGGATGGAAAAGCTATGCGGCTCGCATTGGTAAACACTGGATGGAGGAATGGAAGATAAGCCAGACGATCCTGCACAGAAATAAAACGTAGCCACTCGCCAAGCACTTACACGCAACCCCAGGTGCTTCGTCTTATGAAACGTGGGCATTTCTTTAAAACATTTGCAAGACAGCGTGTAGAACAAACGCTTAGACACAAACATAAAATACTCAAACCAAGTATATTTAATGTATACGTCCACTGCTGAATTACGACCAAGCCATGCGGGTCGTGGAGGTTGTTTCTGACCATCCTTCTTAACGCTCGTCAGTATCAAGTTGGGGAATGCGGGAAGCATGAATGTGGGAGCATCGTACAACAGTTGATTTTGCTGCACTGCCCATCACGTGGCATTCCCACAGCCTATTGTTAAAGGCTGTGTAGATACAACATGGTGGTTACCCATCCAAGTACTATGCAGAGACTCAACCCAACTTAGCTTCCGAGGTCTGACAAGATCGGAAATTTAGTGAGTCATTGACCATATATAACATGTAAACAATTATACATATATAAGTACAGTATGTATACAGAACACATGCAAACATAAAGCAAATGTAATAAATAGATAGATATTTTTTTCATGTTGTTACATGTAGTGGCCCAAAATACAGAGCCTGCCAAAACTTACAGGAATGATAAAGTCAAAATAAAACAACTCTTTGTTGTCTCGGAGAGTGCTGGGAAAAAATGGGGCTGAATAGACTCAAGGTCAAGTGTTTATAACACAAAGCTGATTTTTCCCAACTCAGGAATTCACCAGACTTTTCAAAGTAACGTTTTGTCTACTGAGGAATATTCCACATAAGCTGCAGTGACTGAAATATTCTTATGCATTCACAGCAATAAGTTGCTCTTTTATGAACTTGTAAAATGCAGGAAGTTTTTCAACATTTTTTCTTGAGAACATCTTTTTCGAAGGTGACTTACATTGGAGCAACGAAATGCAGGGTTTAACTTAGGTAACACGGAATCAAATAAATAAATCCATGTACACCGCCCGGAAAATCTTGCTCAAGCTGTTCCGCAGTTAGGAATGCTTCCATTTAATATCTTTACCACTGCAATACTACACACAAATACAGTAAAACCTTGGATTGCGAGTAACTTGGCCTGCAGAGTGTTTTGCAAGACGAGCAAAATTTTAAAATAAATATTAATTTGATAAACGAGCGAGGGTCTTGCAATACGAGTAGTACGTATACGCTTTGTCTGCCGAGCGCCACGTGATCACAACTGATATACGAGTGCTTTGAGATACGAGTGCTTTGGATTACAAACACGTTTCCGGAACGAATTATGCTCGCAATCCAAGGTTTTACTGTAATACCGCAATCCTTTACATGGCCAAACATACGCAAAACGACTATAACCTAAAACCAATTAACAAGTAAACCTTACAGAGGATGGATTCTACTCCAAAACACAGAAGCAGGAAGGTTTTAGTTGGTATTTCAACAGCGTAAGTGATAGTTAAAGACTTGCAAAACAGGCCTCCATAAGTGACCACATAATTGGTTCAGTACCTTTTACAAAACGGGGAAACAAACGCTGCTAGAACGGTCCTCAAAATGTACATCAAATGCCAAGCGTCCAGATGACCTCACTCTCGTCAGACTAAGGTTTTAAATCTCACAGCATGACATCATGGTACTGATGATGTCAGTATTTATTTTCAAGGAATTATCTTCAAATTGTAGTTTAAGCAAAGAGGATAAATATTGCCATGACGGTACAAGCAGACTGCGAGCACATCATGAGATGTATCAGGATTTTTCAGTTTGCGGCATTTACCCCGTTAACTAAAAAACGTCAGGTGGATTCTCAATACAATTTTTTACATTTCGATTATTTTGTGCTTTACATTTTTTAAACAAGAACTAACTGACGGAGAAAGCAATTTAACAAGGTCGTTTCCAAACATTGTATTAAAAACACTCAAAACGTACGAGCACAATTTAAAACCAAGTAATCAGCGCTATAGAGAGGGGCCAATGACAACGTCTCTTACACCCACGAAGCGCACAACAAGAGAGCACACAGTGTGCCAGACGTGGAGTGGAAAAGCTTTAAGCCAATGCACATGATAAGCAGGTTAAAGCTGCTGGCAGGCTAGTTTTTCACAGGTCACCTACCCTCTGAAACCAGAACAGGCGCTCGCCAAGCCCACTAAATCCACCACACACATCATGCTGCAGGTATACATCCCGAAAGCTATCCGCCACACAGCCCAGAATAACACAAAAGGTCACGGCTTGCTGGTTAAAAAAAAAAATAACCACTGACTATATTGGCTTGCGTACCACCACTACCATTACAAAACGAATTAGATTTACGCGATTTAAATGCCGTCACGGTCAACACGCACAAAGTTGCCGCTGTTGTTGTGCACTGTACACACGTACACAGCAATGTTATCGAACGCTACTGTGTGGCTCTCTCTCTGCAGGAGGAAAGTGATACAGGGTAAACAGCCAGGCTTCAGCGCGCACCCGTTTATTAAACTGGTCAGCCAAGTGAGTCCCATCTGTGGTCGGTCAACAACAAAAAAATATATAACGCCACAAGGCCGAGGGGTGGAACGCGCATTGCTCACCCGGCAATATTTATTGCATATTCGCATGCAGGAACTGTTTTTTCGAGTCACCCATGCAGGTACCCCTTTTCATCAAATAGAAGCTATATTGATTTGAAGCTTTCGTGACTGCAAGGATTCATATTCTTGGTTCTTTCGTGACTTTACCGAAAGAACCAAGAATACGAGCTATGTTATTATGGTTCTCCCACTTCGACGGCCCACATCGCCCATGGTGGCAACATCCTTGCTTGCCCCCACGTTCAACCTCTCATTTAATTATCCTTAGATACCCCACTGGTACTTAGTGGTTGGCAAGATGAAGAGAAACGCATAAACTAAAAAACTACTTTGAGAAGAGCGCGCGCTAAAATGCATGCCTGCTGTTACTAAATTGTAACAGATGGACAAGGACGCTGCAGCGCATGTGGTAAACAAGGAATAACGCATAACAGGTGGGCTTTGATATTAAGCAACTGCACAGCAGACACATGGAGTGCACTGTTTTCCAAGGCAACAGCGAGGGTGCAGCATATTTCTTAATTTCACGCATGGCTTTCCCTGATTACACTCTTGAAACAATTTGTGCTAAGCACAGATCAAATATGCACCTGCACTGTCGCACATGCTATGGACGGGGCACGCCTTTTACATAAGCGGGGGGGGGGGGGGGGGGGTGTGGGAAGTGTTCGAGGTGAGGTCACACTCTTCCACCACATCACTCCAGCCCCTTTGGCCTGGTGGAATGTTGCTGCGCGTTCGGGCACAATGAAAAGTTACGGCGCATTACCTTTCGCCAGCATCGTGCCATTTGAGTTAACAATAGAGCACCACGGTTTTTGCAAATGCTGCCACAAAAGATGGGGAGCCGAACGAAGAGAAAAAACAACACAAAGGAAACTAACAGCAGCGGCCTTGCTGTGTTGCGAATGCCAAAGTGTTTTCCATTTAATTGGTCGAGCTACTGTAAAATTCCTTCCGCATACCAACATTTGTTATCGTAGCCAAAAGAGTGAAGCTCAGGCATTCTTGTGTGTAGTTGGCAATATGCAATGTCTCACCCGATTGTCAGGAGGGCCACCACCAATGCCACGTCTCAGCAGCGTGTCCCGGCCTCCGTGTCCACCTGGGTTCAAAGGGGAGAGCGTCAGCCACCTCGCTCTTGCGTGGATACTTGTTTAAAAAAAAAAAATCGCCGACACTTTTTGTTGTTGTTAATTTTCATGGAGCTGGGCCCATTTAAACACAACCCACACACACATCCTGTGCGTGGCCAGCACATGCCTTACAGATTCCTGGCCCGCTCCTTGCCAGCAACAGAAGCAAGGCAGCAATTATCCAAATGCCCACATTAAAGCCTTAAAACAGCTTTATTCGCTCAATTTTGTCTTGCACACAATCTTTTTGTATGCTTATAAAAACCGCAGACTGGTCGTGTTGCAAGAAAATATTGTTACCATTGCGTAATTTTTAGATGGCTTTTTTTTTTATTAAGCAAAGGCTACATTTCGAAGAAAAAAACAGAACAGCATGTAAAGATGAAAAAAATAGGCTGAATTTCAAATACTCAGCATTGCAACAAATCGTCCTTCGAATGCACAACAAGACTTGAAATTAAAATCACTTTGTCTTCCACAAGAGGAATTTCTCTTCGATCTGCTGCTTGCCTTGGCACCATCCCGTGAAAATCCGCACATCTCAAGCACAAACAGTAAAAATGCATTCTCGTGCGCCCCCTACCTTCCGAACACAGGCCCTACCTTTACAACCAAACTGCAAGACTTAAAATTTAAGTTCACGTGCGGCAAAATAAAATGGCTTGGCATTTCTTAAGGTCGCACGCAATCTCAGTTGTGCTATACATTAAACCGAATGATGGAATGGCACTCTGCACAATCCATAATACAGTATCTGTTTTACACACCCCTGACACATACCATGAAAAATGAAGGCCAGCTCACTGCAGTGGCAAGCAGACGATTAATATACTGGGCAGATTGTCTGAAATGCATTCAACCACCAAATCTGCACAATGGATGCATACTAAATTTCAACAATACAATAGAAGCTACAAATAAGCACACACCTGGGATCAAGGCAAGGTGCGCTTATTTTATTTGTGCGATTGTATCAGAAGTTTCCCTTTGGCTTCCCTCCACCAGTATAATGTAGAGATGTGTTTGTTATATCAGAACTGTGCTGAGGTTAGATGTGCCTATATCCATCTTGTTCTGTACTGTATTGCCAATTGATCACGTTTTACTTTGCGTATCTTGCAATCGGTGTCCTGTGTGCCATTCCCTATGAACCACACAGCCTCAATGCTTGCGAAAGGCTCATTCCATAAAGCATTAAAGCATTCCTGCCGAATGTATAATTCCACTGGTGAGGCTATGCTTGGCAGTGACTTACACAACATAAGACTGAACTCCCAAACCACCGCCTGCAGAGTTCTTGTAAATATAGAAAATGACAAACGTATTCAGGGATCCAGATTAAAACATTGTGATTTGGGCTAGATACTCCAGGATATAGCATTGTCAAAAAATATAAAATATTCTCTTACATCCCCCCCCTTAAAGTAATTATTATTACTATAGCTTATAAGCTGTGCGCTTCGGCTTGCCAGACCGCTTGTGCAAACATGAGCTAGGTTGTGTGCGCTTGAAGATAGGGTCAACATGGGTACAGTACAGTCACAGCATGTGTATGAGAGTACACTACTAGCTGAAGGCCCTCTTGCTAACCTAAACCAGCAGAAGCTATTGCGAGCTGCAGCCTAACTTCTTCTTACGTTTCTGCTGGCCGACACAGGCATGAAGGGGGCAACGCATGGCACAAGTAAGTTATGCTTTAGCTCGCTGTTTAATTAAAATTTCAAATAAATAAAACTGGAGTGTTGTATTCTAGATTTAAAGCTTTCGTGACTGCAAGGATCCATACTTTTAAACGCCAAGTCTAACTTGTAATATAATTCACGGAGCATTATTAATTATAATCCCGCACCTCAGGATTAGTACGGCTAGCTACGTACCGTGCGAAAGATGTTCAACATACGTGAATACATAGGAGTGGAATTAATCAGTGCCTGGAGATGTGATTAATTACATCTATCGCAATTCAGGATCGCGATTCGATTTTTTGTTAACAGGGGTAAAATTATTGTGCCAAGTGGCTGCAGAGGTAACGCGAACACATTACATGCAACTGTATACGAAACATATAACATCGATTCTTACACGTGCGTCTCGATGCATGGAAGCATCGCGAGTTTTTTAAAAAGATCTAGATTCAACGTTGAATTGATGCATCATACCACCTATAATGTATCGCATCAAATACATAGTTCTTAATGAACATACACCCTTTGAAAGAAAAAATACATAATCCATGCATGCCAGCTTCTTATCCATCTTTCACAGTAGCCCGGACATAAATATGGTGTAAAAATGTGTGATGCAGAACGATGGCACGCATATGAAGTCGGCTTCTATGGCCCGCTTCCTCCTCTCAAACACTGTTGTTATTCACCCCACCCAGTACTAGATGTTACGATACAGTCAAGCCAAGCAAGCTCAAAGATACTCCAGTTTCCAAAAACAAAGAGATGTCCATACAAGGTGTATATCCATTGGCTACTTGGTCACAAAACAAAACTGTACAAATGCACCACTGAAGGGGCAGCTTTTACCCACGTATCTTTATTTTGTGCGCAGAAAATTCAGCCCGGTTATTTTCGAGCAGACTGCCATTAAGACCGACACCACACACTGAGTGTAAATATATCACTCACAAACTCAAGAGTAATATATAAACATAATGAAACTTCACCACGGGCTATAGAAAACCCACAAATGTGTTGTGATAGGATCCGTTTAACTCTCTTCGGATGAATGGCCAATGTCAGACGTTTTACATTCTCAGACGGCAGCCTCATCTCCCCACAATGCAGCATAGTGTTCAGCCCCAACCAAACATTACAAGGCAGACGCTCATGGTGAAACCGCATGCAGGGGCACCCACTACAGCCTAGCCATGTAAGGCCATCCCCGCTGTCTCCTGACAATTTTGACGTGACCACTGCCGTTTGTTTAAATATCTTCCAACAAAGAACAATAAACTGGTACCATGAGTGTCAGATTGTGAACATGTAAAGATTCATCTCTCCTCCTAAAACCACCCCACCCCACACTGGCCACCCAGCCCCTGGCCCTGGAAAAACCTGAAACCCCACATATAAATGACACAATACAATTACTATACAAAGTGTATTTATACGGAATATAAATGCAATCTCTTCTCGAGCTGCTGTACGGCAACAGTGCGCATATATATTTTACACAGGCAGACAGTTATAGGCCGGGGTGAAAAGGACAGCCTTGAGTCTGGAGTTCAACAGGGGCAGAGTCAACATCAAGGAAGGCTGAAGGAAGGAAGTTCCAGACCAGTGGAGGCAACAAAGCAGAATTGGCGATCTCCCACTGAGCGAATGTTGACTGGGAGCTTTGCATTTTTTTGCTATTAAAAAAAACCGCGCGTGGAGGAGGGAAGAGTTAGATGAGGGTGATAATGAAGGCAGGGTTCCAGTCGAGAGGATCTTGAAGATGGTGATCGTGAAATTGATATCAGATTGGATGCCAGTGGAATGATTGGAGCATTGGGGTGATGTCTTGTTTACGGGTAGATACGGGTGAGGGTCGAGAGTCTGGCGGTGGTATTTTGGATCACCTGGAGTTTGGTGATGAGGGATTTGAGAGAGATTTGCGATCGTCGAGTCAGAATATGATTAAAGTATAGATGAGGGTGTCAGCAGCAGCTAGGGTAACGACTTTACGGATGTGAGAGATATTTGCTCAAGTGGACGTTTGAGGTTTTTCAGATTTGAGATGTGGGAAGATAACGAAAAATATTAGATTTCACAACACACCTACAAGCGCATTTACATGTACACAGCTCTCGCCCTTAGTCAGAGCACAAGCTCAAAAAGACTGAAATGTGTAGTAATTTTGTCATTTAAACTAGTAAAATAACTGTGAAAATGTGTACATCTCAAAAGGCAAAATAAGGCTCAGCTATTTTACATGCAATCCACATCTCTGTGTGTTGCCAAGTCTATTTGTTTTACAGTCTGCATTATTTTTTCAGGAGCAATGGGTTTTCTCATCAATTACAGATTTTATTTACTGGAGAACAAAAGCTCAAAACAAATCCCAACTCCATAATTACATGCACAGTTGGCTACGTACGGGAGTCCGTGACCGACATTAGACCAAAGCTGGTTTCAAACGCTTGACAATCCACATTTTCCCCATATGCTCCTTTCTTCATCAAACTAATTCACCTACTCTCAATTCAACCATACTTTCAAGAACGTTGAGCTGTTGTGTAATCAAGCACTGTTGTGTTATCAAGAATAGATTTTTAGTTGTGTGCCTTCGTAGTATTGTTTGCCTAATTTGTACTATTTAATTTGTACACTCTTATCATGTTGGTCCATTTTCGAGCCTACATATTAACATTTCTATACAATTTGCATAAATAATAAATTATGGAATCTGGCACAAACGATTTGATGAATGCATATTTGGTTTAAAAATATTTTCATCGACAAGTAAGGTTATCGTTAACATTACTCTGTGGATTTGAAAAAAATAAGAAACAATTGTCCACTCTAAAATGTGCTTAAACTGAGCATAGCAGACATTCTTAATGCAACAGAATGAAGTGTAAAAACTATATGAAAATGAATCCATAAACCAACTGTTATGTCTAATGTATTCATGTTAATACCGACTAAAACGATTTGAAGGAAATGCAGTAGGAACCCTTCGTTTAATTATTCATATTTTAATTTGCTGAATAAAGAATTGGCCAAGAACCCAAAGGAAACTAAACCTGGTGCCATACATAATTATAGACATGATAGGATTGGTAGCTGAAATTGCAATTACATTGTGGTTACAGTTCATGATGCACATCAAAAACCACAATTGAAATTGATTCCTGGTATGCGCAAAACACAACTGAAAAACAGTCCTGAGACTCAATGATGCTTTGCTGATGAATCAAAGAACGAATCGTTATAGTCAAGTATCATCCCCAATCTGGTGGTCGACAGTGATTTATCCCCGTCTTTTCCTGTCCCTTGTAACACGCCACACTCTTCCTGCCCTTGTAAATAAAACCACTTCAATGTTGATTACTCACTTTTCTGTCTTCCTTTGATCTCAACCTTCAGTCTGACAGATAATGCAACTTATTCAACAAGCTCTCATCTCGCATCCCAAAAAAAGTTACCTTTACAAGTTCACAACTTTGCTTTGCTCTTTGTAATACGTCTTCAATTGTTATTCTTCCAACCATTTTCAGCATTCCTGTACATGCTTGGATGGGCGACCACCGTTCCAAGCACAATGCAGGCTAAACCGTGCTTTAGCTTCCGAGATCTGTCTAGATCGGGTGCATTCTGGGCGATTTGGTTACAGGTGATTAATAATACCATTACTAAAACAAAACATCGTCGCTCGCTCCATGCGAACTTCGCAAACCGCACGCACGCATTCAATATTCCTCACTGTTGTGCTGCACATCAGGCTGGGACTTGCCTTGGCCCACTCGACAGCATTCCACGACTGACGGCATGCCGTAGCATATCCCACACACACGCAACACACGCACGCCCATCATCGGATAGCCGGGTGGGTGGGCGGGCGAGCGCGTATGGGATAACACACCAGGGATCGCCCACGGGCACAAACGCACCCCACCGGTGGTGACCGCCGGACACTCACCTGGGTCTCTGTCGACGGTGGGTGGGTCATCGTGCCGCAAGTAGAATTTAACCTCGTCTCGGCGGGCCCCCCACTGCTGCAGGATATCATAAATCATATCCTGCGCTGGCAGGGAACGCTCTGTGATTTTACACACAAGCACACAAACAAAAAATACACGTGTGCACATACATTATTTACGCATGGAATTAGATTACACAACACGCGTATGCATTATATTGTGCATCGTAGAAATCGCTATTTAGGTAAGAAAGGTGTTTATTAGGTTATTGGAGAGAAATTATGTAATCTTCCGGCCTATGGTACATTTGGTTTATTGCTGTCCGATGTGATTTTGGGTCGTACCGTGTGTTGTCTGACGCTTCGATCTACATACTGGGAGCATCTTCAGGAACTGAAGAAGCCAAACAACACATGGTCCAACCGGAAAAAAAAAACATCGGAGGGCTACACAGCACGACCGCAAAAACCTACGCACAATTCTTCCCATTATTTTTTATACAATATTTTCTTTAAAGTAACTATTGCTTTGTTTCTTGTTTTCATAAATTTAGAAAATCTTCTTACATACCAATGTATTGCTGATATAATTGTACATAGATATCCAATGAGGTATTTCAACAGCTTTTGGGAAAAGCCCATGTGGCCAGCATTACCTGTGATAGTGAATAGAGCATGCGGATGTTTGTAATACATTTCAAAGGAATACTTTATATATTTTTTTAATTGCTGCTCATGCAAAATGAAAGAATGTTACTATTGCAATGCCACATTTTGTATCTATACATGTCTAAGAATGTTACTGGGTTCACATTGATGAGAAGAAATAACTGCTTATTGGAATGAAAATGTATTTCTTTAAGTTAAATAACTTTCCATTTTCCAAAATAAAAGAGCGTCATGTGCTGTAATGCGAGTTTAAAGTAGTGTCCGGATTAGAAAGACCTATATTTGAATGTCACTTGTAGCTTGTTTCAACTGGGAATGTATTCACTCCATCCTCTCTGCATTCATTGGAGAGAAACAATTAAGGCTGTACACATTTTTATCCTCTCTGCGAATAGGATAGGCTTTCTGAAAAAAGTCGTGTATGTATAGGTGTTTCCTCTTAGAGCTACCGTCGGTTTCCAGACCGAAAACGGAATACTTCCAATGACAAACCCGTCTTGGACAATAGCACATGATTTCCTGAACGTGTTTTTAAACAAATATCACGTTTAATTTCCGCACCATCTCCTCGCCACAGCTGTGCTAGGTGGCAGTGCAGTTCTCCGGGCTCCTTGCAGAAGTCCACGACATCCCTGCAGCAGGTCTCTGGCGTGACCGGCACCTCTATACCCTGCTGGTCTCCCTCGCTCAGCAGCACCGTCAGGATCATCTGAACACCGGCGGCAAACAAGCAATGTTACTCAAATGTGGACATCGTGCGGATTGCGCAAGGAGGTCCAAAATAAATATATATGCGCTCAAAACGATGCTGCTTAAAACTAAAACATTAAAATGTGGTTGAATAGCAGCCGACTGTCACATTCATCATTCGAGCATGAGTTGAGTCACAACAGATGCTGTGACAGGCACGCGACCATAGTTAGAACATGGCAGGTTATGTACATGAAGGATTTCGATATATACAACTGCCACAGTTGCTTAAATAAGAGAACTGATAGGTCCATTTTGGGCCACACTAATTTAAGAAAACATGATCCATCAATCGATCTTGTATGGAACAGAAAACGTACAACAATGCATTAAAAAGTCACAATATTTTCAAAGGCATGACCACCACTATATCTCATACCACACCCACAGAGAAGTTTCAAGTTGCACTGTTACCACAGTGCCTGGAAATTTTGCTTAAGGGGTAAAAAAAAATACTTGTTTTTCAAAAAACACACTGAGCTTGAGCACGGGAAGGGCTTGTGAAAACTGCATGTGTGTCAAAGCACATGTTTGACATTGTATGTACAGTGTGCGACTAAAAGTAACTGTTAAATCAAGAGTCCAAGAGAAAAAAAGAATGTACATTCCTCACATTGTCAAATTGATCTTAGGATGAAAATACTTCAGTGAATAACCAGTTCAACTCAAACAATGTCCTACATTATGCTCAGAGTGAACCATTTCATTGGTTTCTTAAGTCTAACAAAGACCCACTATTTAGAGCCACAGGTTAACACTTCAGCCCGGTGTCTGCCTGCATATTTTGATTTACACTACTGGTTGTAAGTATTCATACCCCAGCATTTTGTAGTGAGTGCGCGCCTGGCGCCCGCTATCAGATAATATGGTGTCACATTCCAGGAGGTTTGCTGAAGCCATGGCATTACTAAAGGACAATCAAGAACAGCTAGTAGCGTGCGACAGCTGTCAAAACTTCACGTCACGTCAAAGGGATTTCACACTGGCGCATGGCATGCCACGGCCGTCAGCGGCAATTATGCCAATCAGAGAGATAACAGGGCGGAGGAAAAAAAATTCCACGAGCTGCATTTTAATGACCACAGGATTAGACCCCAAGCGTGAAGGATAAAGACCAACAGCTCAGAACCCCAGCACCATGGGCTTGTCTCTGAAATAACAGATAAACAAGGGCAAAGTACTGCCTGTCAACAAGAATTTTCGGAAATGTCATTAGAGACAACTCCGTTAATAATGTTACATCAGAAATGTAAATTTCTATCCAGATTCATATTTTTTGTGCAACCTATTGATGCTGTGTAAACAGCTAAATGTATTCCTGATTTATTAGTTTTAAAATAATTGTTGCTTTTGAAAGTATTATGAGGTGCACTGGTGTTAGTGACAGTAAATGTGGCAACTGCCTGTGCTGGAGTTTGTCCCTTCTTCTATAATGTTGCCAAACAGGACATTTTACTTTACGCTCAAAGAAGGCAAAAGCAAATGGATGCCAATAAAATGAGTAAACATTGTCCTACATATGCGTAATAATTTCCAACTTTTATCTTTTTCATGCTCTTCAACCAAATTTGTTTAAAAGCTGATACCAACAAGACAATAGACATGATATATAATGCAATTGCAGACTTTTGTGCAAACCTTTACTGCTATGTAGGTGGGATGAATCACAGGCATGTCACCAGTACTGACATTACCTCAAAAGTGAATGTACCAGTGACATACCTAATGCAGTATTTTGATTTAAAGCTTTCGTGACTACATGGATTCATATTCTTGGTTCTTTCGGTAAAGTCACGTGATGATTGCTTGTGTTGCAGTCGAAACGTTGTGAAAATTGTATTGTTCTATATTTTTCTAATTTTATTGTTTCCCTTCTACGTGACTTTACCGAAAGAACCAAGAATATACATATACTGTATTATTGTAATATTGCATATCAACCTCACAAGGTTCCGTACCCGGATTCCTCTTTTACAATTTAATGTTACCAAATACCCTTATTCACTGTTCATAATATAAAAACACATGAAGGAATGTGGTTTATCATATATGCATAGTTAACAAGAAGTGGTCAAACGGCTCAGAGGTTAGGGCACGGTGCTGGCACTGCTGAGATTCTGGGTTCGAATTCAGGCGGCTGTCTGTGATTTAACTGGGTTCTTAAGTGGGATGAGATGTCTCAACCCAGTCACGAATGACTGCACAAAAAGCCCTTCACATTCAATGTAGTTTCGTTCTACAATTAATTTAGCTAAATAACAGCTTTAAGAATTCAACGAGAGGTTTGCCTGTCGTTTAGCGAACATTTCTCTCATATGGCAGAGCGGGTGAAAAAATGCTGCCCTCCACTGTGTCGAACAGGTCTCTGGAAGGGGGATCTCAAAGGTAGTACTAGCTCTATGAGGCGCCACAGTCGTCAGATGTTAACTACATCGCCTGGTATACAGGAGGTCGTGGGTTCGATCCCGACCAGACACTTATATATTTGGAGTTTGCATGTTCTCCCTGTGGTTACGTGGATTTTTATCCGGGTCCTCTTGGTTTTTCCCTCCACATTTAGATTCAACGTCACGTGTTTAGGAGTATTTGGCTGCTATAAATTTCGACATGATAAGCCATTTCGTTGAGCTATTGTTTGTGGCCAGGTCGCTTCTGAAAAAGAGCTATATAGTTCAGTGGGCCTTACCTGGTAAAATAATAGTTTAGTTTATCGTTTATATCCACTTCCATGGGACATTTTATACCACGAAAGTGTTGCACTACGATGTGGAAGATTCGAATGGATACTTCATCTCATGCCATTACAACAATAGAGCAGATGGGAAAAATTTGGGGATAAATACAATTTCAAAAGAAATATGGTCAATGCATATCGTCAGCAAACTATAGGACAAAGTACGTACTTATCTGCACTTTGTGCGTCAAATGGTATAGGCCTGTTCTTAAGAAAATAGAACAATCTCTTCCACACACCACATTGTACTGCATATGCATGATTACCGAATTAGCTTTGAAAAGCCTGATAACAATATAATGACACTTTATCAAGATGCATTTTTATAAAGTACAGGAATGTGTTTACGCGATCATCCCTCTTACCCAAATCTCTGGGCTGTACCTACCATAAACGCTGCCAATCCATCACAAAAAAACTGAAAAAGTACTCCACGTGTCAAACCTGACTGCTTTACAGGCTCCAAAGCTTGGTTTTAAACAGTAACGCAATCTCGTGGTTCAAATCTTGAGAGGTTATGTGATTTAAACGCACAATCATTGTGTTTGTGTGCCCCACAAGCCCAAAAGGACATTATTATCTTGTTGCAAACAAGCACTCCCACTTGGGAGTCTTTTTCACGAGACTTAAAAAAACACGCCAAACAACACAACAAACACAAACTGCTGTTGAACACCTTACATTTTACACATTTGAGTGCATAAACATAAACGACAAGGTGGAATGATGACAAGATAGGCAACAAGTCGCACACGTTGGAATGCTTGAATGAATAAACGTATCACAAGTGAAGAGTCACAGGCATGGCTCAAAGATAAAGTCAGCAGAGCACAGAATTTCCTTATCACCTATCTCCAGAGTTACAAAGGTTGACGTTCCACAATTGTACAAATTCTTCTCCACTACAATAAGCACACACTATCGTCTGCATAAATCACAATAAATAAATATGCCAACGACAAAAATCGCTTAAAAACAAGTATAATTCTGAATGTGGATATCGTACCTCGTGCAAGGGTATTTAACTTTGAAAATACCACGTATATGTAGTACTTACACTAAAGCAATCAATACTTGAGTTTTAAGAATAACATATTGATAATTATCAGATGTATAAACAAACATCTAAATGAGGGTATATCCCATTATTTTTTAATTAATAGAGCAGTAACAAATATCGAAAGTAGCATGTTTACATGTACAGTATCTTAATAAACCTGGAACACTGACCGTATTTGTTTGTGGATTCGGGCCCATTAAAATGTTTAAACAATCCCGCAGTTATTACGATGCTCAATACCCACGTCCTGTGAGCAACTGCACCGAGTTAAGTACTGTACATATTTATAAAGGTCGGTCACTCCCGAGCGCATATTACATAGACAAAAATAGCACTGTTAAAGACTCATGCGTGACATCTGACTCACTGTCCATAACTGTGTGAGTTCCCTAAAGTGTCTCAATGCAGGGGAAATCATTACGTCGAAAAATGAGCACAAAGACGTAAAGCACCAATTTGCATTGTAGCATGCCAAGCAGATGGGTGGAGCAGTGACATAATAGCCCGTGCACTGCTCGATGATTTCAACAAACAAGAGTTTGATTCCCAGCCATGACTACCGTCAGTGGCGAGTCATCTCTGAAGCATCCTGCCTTGCCTTCCCTCCCACCGACCTTTTGGTGAAGTATGGTCAAATAACCGCAATGGCCGACAGTTGTGAGAAAGCCTCCGTCCAGCCGTGAATTGCCAAAGGGCAGCGAATTATATGATAATTATGCTAGTAGAATCCCACGCTCCTTTGTCAAGACACGGCAATGATCTAATGTTGCCGACTAGGTCATATTGTGTTACGCTCGAGGTAAATATTTACACAACATCCAATATGCTGCCTTGTACAACATGTCAGTTAAGGACTGGATGCGTTTAACATATTTTGTATCACTTAAACCGAGGTCAATAACATATGATATTCAACTTATGCGAGTGACATCATATGCTGTAGAGTGGGGAGCGGTAGTGTAGCGGTTAGCGCGCTACGAACCTGGCAACCCGGGTTCGATTCCCGCTCACGGCTAACACCAAGAGACTATTATCTAAACCGGTCCTGGGCCTGCCCTAGGTCGACTCAGCCTCAAATGAGAACCTGGTGCGATGTGTAAACATCGCCGCTAGGGAGACAAAGGCGTCCGGGCGTGGTGTTGGCCGGCCACCCACCCCCTCGCGTACCGTTCTGGCCTTTATAGGTGCTCGCTAACAGCACTTGCCCCTACAGTCTGTTAAGGCTATACGGGGGGATCTTTGTCTTTTTTTCTGTAGAATGGCCTCTAAAGTCCAGCGGGGAGCACAATGGTGAGATGGACCTCAGGGATCACAATATTGGACAGGATCCGGAATGAGACAATGAAGAAGGCAATAGTGGTACCCCACTCAGACAAGGGGGAAAATAAGCACACTCACGTAGTTTTGACTTGTCTGAAGAAAAGGGGAAAATGCCATTAGGGAAAAAAAGTTCTTAATTAACATGGGGAGCACCAGGGCAGAGAGGGAACCCTTCAAGGAGATGGTTCAAAGTGGTGAACCAGAAAGTGAAGGACTGTGGAGTGAATATGGAGTTGTTTTTTTAATGATTCTTTAGTATGGCTGGTGTAGATGCAGCGAAACTACAATTTCACATTCAGGTGTTTCAGGCCAGATAACCGCGTCAGGAGCAGAGGAGTGTGTTATCACTGTGACGTCTCCTTCGTTTACTGTGGATCGGGGCATTGCGTGGTTATACGCTGTGTACGGTCTGTTCTGGATGACCACAGTCGCACACTGCTGGAGAGTTTTACATTTTCCTTTTGTGCATCAGGTATCCGCATCTGCCATGGTTTGTGCAGTTGATGCGTGTTAGGGTGAACCATGCATGAGTTTCGTGTAAGATCAGAACGAGGCAGCTTCTAGGTTTTAATGATGACCCAAGGAGAGAAATTAGCGATGAGGAGACCGGGAGAAAAATAGCAGGAGTCATTTCGTGAATAAATGTCCTAACTGCAACTTCATAACCAGAACATTTAGATGGGATCAGGATGCAAACAACTACACGTGCTTCTGTAGTCACTTCAATATGAAACTGTTTTCCAACGCAAACCTGTGCTTATTCACATTCTAAAAGAGCGCTTTGCCAGTTGTCAGTCATTCGATATACTGTATTGCAGTGTATTTATAAATTGCATACCTCAGATAGGATGCACGAAAGTTAAGCTAAAAGCTATCACGACTCCTGAGTCACCAAGACATCGCTCCTTAGTTCCGTCATAATTAATATTACGCTTTCCAAAATAGAAACGTCGCATTAAAAACGGGTTTAAGCAACAAAACCACAGAGCCGAATTCATTTGCGGCCGATTGCATAAGTTAATAGAAACACCTCAAGTGACATTACGACCAAGTTTAGATGTACAATGAAAACTATGAGGGCGTTTACTTCAGTGATTTATGCAACCTAGTCCAAGCTTCCTATGTACACCAGACGACACGGCCGTTCTCACCTAGATAACGTGAAGCTGTACATGAAATACTCACAGGCATCATGTTGACCGCAGCGTATGAATCTTCTCCCTTATCTTCGATTCAAGCTTAATTAGAAAGGCAATCTTGTTTAACCTGCAAATATGTAAAACGAGAAAACGATTTAATAACACTGTCATTTATTTAAACCGGAGAAGCCTAAGTTTTCAAATACTATTTGAGGGTCCTGCTATATAGAGATGTTTGGCCAATTCCATTGTCGAGTGTTTGGGCTTGTGGAAAGAAACGGGAGAAACCCCACCACGTTGTGCAAGGTTATAACGCTCGAAACTCCGCACAGATCGATGTAATAATCCATCACTGTAAGACCACAACACCTGGAATTCTGGGTCTCCCATCAAAGGTACGGGCCAAGCTCAAACCTACTTCGCTTCCGAGACGTGACGAAGTCGTACACATTCCAGACGATGTTTTGTTTTACTGAGACTTAATTTAAAAGATTAAATAAAAATTGAAAATAAACGGCCTACGCTGCCCGCCGTGCTGGTGCTACCGTCCCCCCGACGATGGAGCGAGGCCCCCGGTAGGAGCTTCTATCAGAGAGCCGGTCAAGCATTCGGGCCTCGAAACTAGCAAATCGTTAAATGAATGTAAACGTATGTGTTTAAACAACAACAAAAAATGTCACCGACACAATATCGTTGTACGCCTACTCAACGAAACACCGATGTTGCGTGTGCAGTCCTTACCTCGATTAAAAGGCGAATGGTGGCACGCGTATAAACAGCAGGTTCGGCGCTCTGAGACACAGCAGCATGTTCCAAAACACACGCCCTCTGCTTAACATTCACGTCCCCGCCCCGCTTTAAAAACTAAGACACGACGACCGAAATACTAATTTCGATTTTAAATAAAGTGGTTACGAAACGTAATGGCAACCGGAGGGACACTTTGGCCGCAACGAAAGTGTGGAATGAAGGCGGTCGAGGCCGGGGTTGGAAGGTGTGGGCGAGGTGAGAGGACAGCCGTGGGTGGAGGGTGCAGATGGCGAACGCCGTTGCCAGATGTCGGAGGTTAAAACCTCGGGGTTGAACGAGACAACGGTCATGGTTTTCATAGTTTTCAAAGTTTCTTTGATTTTGGCACAGCCCTGTGAGCCATTCGGCTCTTGAATCGGGTGCAACCGCAACAAACAAAGAAAAAACTAAAACATGAACAAGAAAAACCTCTTAAAGTGACTTTGTGTGACTGTGCAAACAGAAAATACAGGAAAAAAAAACATCAACTTATTCCTGAAATAGCACCGTACACCAACGCTGTGTGCAAAAATCCCAGTGGGATGCAAGTCAAACAACAACAACCACAAGAAAACTTAGATTAAGGCCATCAGTCTAACCCCGTACTACAATAAACAAAAACATGGCCAAACCCAAAAAAAACTTTTAGAAATCACCAAAATAAAGCCATAAATGCAATGTAACAGTGATCATAGGAACTGTGACCGAATTTTTTTTTTTAACAATAAACTACATAAATAACATGTAACACCAAACCCTAGAGTCACAGCTGGCTGCATGAGTCTCGGTGGAGAGTGCACCACCCGTGCTGTGTGACTCTGGCGACCACTGACGGTTACCTGAACCGGTGACGTGGGCCTGCTCCTAGGTCGACTCAGCCGCAAGTGAGTACCTGGTGCGGTGCGGGAGTAAACATCGCCAGTGGAGAGACAAAGGCGGCCGGGCGTGGTGCTGGCCACCCCACGTCCCCGTGCGCCGTGTCGGCCTTTCATAGTTGCTCGCTAGCAGAACTTGCCCCCAACATTGTGTTAAGGCTATACGGGGTATCTTTGTCTTTGTACGATGGCTCCTCTACTTACGAACGAGTTAGGCTCCATAGGTCTGTTCGTAAGTCGATTTGTTCGTAAGTACACTGTACTTCTGTTGATTCCAACCATGTGGTACGAGCATGCAAACTAAAGGTTGTATAATCTCCTGTAGCTGTAGATGCCACTGGTTCTTCATGTTCTGCAGATGTAGATGCCACCACCGACATCTATTACGGGGCGATTGAACCGACGACTCTCGTTCCGAACAGGCAACTGAACATACGGACAGGTTTGTTCGTATCTCTGGAAGTTCGTAAGTCGAGTATTCGTAAGTAGAGGATTCCTTGTATGTTTAACTTAATTCGCTTTTCAGAACAGGCAACTGAACATACGGACAGGTTTGTTCGTATCTCTGAAAGTTCGTAAGTCGAGTGTTCGTAAGTAGAGGATTCCTTGAATGTTGAACTTAATTCGCTTTTCAGAACAGGCAACTGAACATACGGACAGGTTTGTTCGTATCTCTGAAAGTTCGTAAGTCGAGTGTTCGTAAGTAGAGGATTCCTTGTTTGTTGAACTTAATTAGCTTTTCATCACAATCAATGATGAATCAACTGCTAGATGAAAGCGTCACCCAAGCCGCCGCCAACTATAACGATTTTGCAATACAAAGATCCACCCCAACGGATGTCCATCTGTACGCGAAGTGAACTCATCGCTCCATCTCCTTTGGCGGATGACCTCTCTGACGCATTCCAATTCCTTGGCTGTCAACTCCGCCGTTACTATTCCTTGATCATCGTCCATCCTCCCTTGTGGCCGTGTCGCGTCTCGTCCCAAGTCAAATTCCCCTTCTTCATAGATCGGGTGACGGCATTAACCCGCGTATGTTCTCTAATCCACGTGTTTCTCGTTCTCTCTCTCAAATGGAATTTCAAGCATTCGTCTCTCCATGATTCTTTTCGCACTTTTGTCAGTTTTATTCATATAGGTACCGTACAAGTTTAGTTAACGGCCGTGGTATTTCTGAACCAAACGTCACAGCAGGTCGTGTTCACTGATTACCTACGCTTATTTTCCTCTAAAGAATAAAACTCATGGCAACGATCACACTTTTTTTAACCACTGAGTTGTGTAGCTCTTTTTTTCAGAAGCCACCTGGCCATCACAAATGATAGCTCAAAGAAGTGGCTTATGTGTAAATGTACTGCAGCCAAATACTCTAAACGTGTTATGTTCATTCTAAACGTGGAGGAAAAACCCGGAGAAAAATGCACGCGACCACGGGGAGAGAGGGAGGCATGCAAACTCCAAATATACAGGTGTCAGGGTCGAAACCACGACCTCCTGCATACCAAGGTGAGGGAGATAACATCTCGCCACTTGCGGCACCCTGTACCGGTTACGATCACGATATTCACTGGCGTGAGCACAAAGTGGTAGTGCCGTGGAATGCCCCCCACCTGTCCCTTGCCATTGGAATGCCTAAGGAAGCCGGATGCTTGACGAATCTGAAATGAGGCAACAACAATAAAACACTGATGCGGTTGATTTTTCATCCCCAAAATCTATTTTCATTAAAAATATATAATGATTTGGTCATACTGCGTTGGCAGTGGGGCATACAATTCCGGTGGGCAGGCCACTGCATCCGGATGCCTGAGAACCGCCTTCCCCACCACATCCTTTTCTCCCAACTCTGCAATGGTCAGCAGACGAGGGGAGGTGCAGATAAAGCGCGGTTCAAGGTAAATCTTCAGGTCCTCCCTGAATCGTGGAGAATCACCCTTCAAGACTGGGAGGAGCAGCAGGCTGCCCACCGCCTAGGGGTGGCGGCGCTGCATCCACCAAGCCGCGGCCCACTTCGAGACCGAACAGCGTCTCAATGCCGATACGGATCGACGCCAAAAAAAATAAAAAGGAAATCAACCCATCACTTGCGGATTCCACTTCCATCTGCGACCGCGTGCCCCCGATGCCCAAAGATCTGCGGATCCAGAATTGGACTCCTCAGCCACCTCAAGAGCCACCACTAAACCTGATGGACGTCATCCTCGAACTCGGAGGGACTGCCTACGATGCATAAGCGCAAATAACAACACCATACTCTTTGGTTCTATTCGGTAAAGTCACGTAGGTAAAAAATAAAACAACAAAAATCACGACGTTTCGGCCATAACACAAGCGGCCTTCATCAGGTGAAGGGACCAGACTGTCTCGAGGACAGCGCTGGAGTGAAACACAGCCAAGCTCAGACCGCGACCTTTAAGCTGTGTGAGAGTGATTAAGGTGCCTTGACAAAGGAATTAGCATTAAAAAATCCATTTAATAGCGGACTTAGCATGATGAAAGGTGGGGAGAGGGTCAACCTGTGCAGGCTGGCGAGGGGGCAAGGTAGAGTCCATATGCTGGTGGTGTGAAAAGGGAATTTTTTAAGAAGCTGCGAAAGTTTGGGGTACCACTACTTGAACAAATCTACTGTACCATTGAAAATTAGTTTAATGTTTGGTTCGATTTAGAACGTCTTTCCAATGGTTGCTTAATTTGAAACCATCTTCTCAGTTGAAATTGTGTCTGTGTTTGTAGATCTGAATTGCCTCGTGAACAAATCTCTGATAAAAACCCGTGGGTTTGCAAAGAACCTTGGTATCGGAGAAAATTATATCGTGATCACCCACAGCGTTGTAACAGTGATCAGCTACGGCAGAAGAATTCGTTCTGCCGTGTTTCAAATCTGATTTGTGCTCGCGAATTCGGTCACCAACAAGAACTCAACACATCCTTCAACAAGCCTTATCAGTAAACACACACAGAGTACTTTATAGCTATGCCACGTTCTAGGAAATGGGCCATTTTCATTGCATATTTTACCACAAAATGTATGCGAATACAATCATCGATTCGCATTCCGTGGCAGAGGTAAATATAAATCCACTTCTGAATGAAGACTTCCCCACGGCATGTTGGTCATGGCGGGTTGGTGAATGAATGAGCCCAGGACTGGTCCAGATGATGTCAGCCATGGCAGGGAACCGAACTCAGGTGGTGAGATTCGTAACGCGGTCACTTTTAATCACGAGAGCTGGTAGAAGTCTACAAGATGCACACGTCCATGATTAATATCCACTCTGAAGCTTTGGATACCTGACAGGGCCAGAATAAGGTTTTTGTAGGCTCTAGGTGACTAGGGACTTCTGTTTCGTAGGCCTTCAGTGATAACTTTGTACGGTTCTGCTGCCCATTGTCACGACCCTTGCAATACTGTCTATTCAGAATGATATTGTGCAAAACACACTATTTGAAGATGTTATTTCTAATTTTGCATTGAAACAAATCTCGAAAAGTTAATCTTCGGTGTTAATCTCTTCCACCTTATGAAAAAAACATTGACATTACTCTGCCTCTTTGTTTCTACACTGTGCCTACCCTTGCTTTTTAAACATATTTATTCAAGAAGATATATTGGTTTTAATTTTTGATTTAAAGCTTTCGTGACTGCAGGGATTCATATTCTTGGTTCTTTCGGTAAAGTCACGTAGAAGGGAAACAATAAAATAATAAAAATATAAAACAAAATTCTCACGACGTTTCCACTGCAACACAAGCAATCATCATGTGTGAAAACCACAAATTTTCTTGTGGTTTTCACAAGAAAACCACAAGAAAATGAACCAAGAATATGAATACGATATATTGGTTACTTTTTTTATCATACAAAAACACATGGTCAGTGGTCAAATGTTATTTTTTAGTAGGCCTTATAGTTTTTGTAGGCCCTAGGCAGTTACTGTGGCAGATGGATAATACGGCCCTGGTACCTGAGTCTGAGTGTTAAAACATTTATGTGCGTCTCAAAACACGACTCAGCATAGATTGCATCCCTTTGTTTGAGATGTGGCCCGTGGATGCAGATATCACAGAGCTACCACCCGAGGTAGAGCCCTTCGAGTGACCTCTGGTCAACACAACAGGGGAGGCAAGAACCTTCATATCCGCCCTGCCACAGAGTCATGTCCGTCGAATGCCAGTGAAACCGATGTGTTCATGGTCAAGTTCTGTGCTCAAGTTTCTCGTCCTTCCCCTAGCACCTCGGATATAGCACGGCTGACTACGAAGGGTGCGAAAAAAAGTTCAACAATGCATGCATACAAGAGTTGGATTTAGCCAAAGTCGAAATGTAATGCGATGTTTATGTATTAATGCGCAGTCTTTGGTGACTACACTCGCAACATGGCTCACAGGGCTATACCTAATAAATGAAACTGAACACTTGAGATCCGAAGTTTATTCACAGGAGACCTGCCTGGATTCAATACCGACACCCACGACACAAAGTGACGGTGATGTCACCAAGGCGCCTGTGCCAGGCTAGGTGCACGTTGAGGCCACGTGAAGTGTCGAAGGCTCGCTGGTGGCAGAAGGACTCGGGACAGACCCAGCAGGTGCCATGGGTTGTTCTGACTGACATGACCGGGAGATGTACCCAGCTGTACCCCCTCTACTGTGCCAGTTTTGCTGTATTTTATCCGCCCGGCGCTCCGCTCATTGTTGTGAGCGTCACTCCTCTGCCCTCCGTTGTTGCTGGAGGGGCGACTGCCTCTACAACTGCCCAGTAGCTCAACCAACAACTCTAGTGACCCCTGATCCACCCGGCCGTGATTATCACTCATTAACGTGACTTAAGTGGGAAGCCGTTGACAATTCAAGTCTATTCTAGATTTAAAGCTTTCGTGACTGCTAGGATCCATACTCTTGGGTTCTATTGGGTAAAGTCACGTAGCTTCTTCCACTCCAGCGCTGTCCTCCAGACAGTCTCGTTCCTTCACCTGATGAAGGCCACTTGTGTTGTGGCCGAAACGTCGTGATTTTTTGTTATTTTTTATTTTATTTTCACCTACGTGACTTTACCCAATAGAACCCAAGAGTAATTCAAGTCTAGTTTTACATAACGTTACGTAAAATTTGGAAGGGGTGGGAGGTTAAAAAAACCCCTTTGAAATTCTACCATGAACTTAAACACGGGCTCCACTATATTTATGACAGCACACAACAGTGTTCCTTCCTGGGTAACACGCCTCTCCCCTAATGGTCTCAAGAGGGACACCTTTAACGAAGCGCAGAGCCACCAGCCAGCCATGAAAAAGCGCGGATTTTTTATTTCCCCAACGCGGAAATTTTTGGGTGCTCAGCCAATCACACGGGACGGCCGATAAACATTCCACCCCTGCCCTCATCCACACTGGGAAATTCAATTGAAGGGGGGGGTGTGTGCGCGAACTGTCGTTGCCACAGCAACGGTTTACAGCTGTTGGGATGACGTCACTGCGTTGAGAGGCAACAGCCTGGAATGCACTTTTATGAATGAGCCCATGGCCAACGAACGTTCACATACGTGGCTTTCATCTGCGACCAAAATAAAAATGGCATGCTAATTTATGAACCGTGCACCCAAAACCACGAACTGAAATTCATCTGAAAAGCTTTATGCATATGGAATTATACTTGTGTATCGGGTCGCTGTGTTTTACCAACTGGCCAGGAATTTCCATTATACATTCAACTACATTAGCAATCATGAATGCAGTTGTGTAGATTTATGATATGATCGCACTTAGCCAGATTTGTGAAAATGTAACGCTTACCAATAATAGCAACTGGTGCACGTGCAGCCCTTTTGTCAATCCACTGCTGGACGTTCTTCCAACACCATGTGGGTCAAGGTGTTTTGTGAGGATTTGTAAATACGCGCATAGATGTGCTAATGGACTGTAAACGTTTTGTTGCAGATACATCATGTAACAAAGTGATGACAGTACCACCCAAAAGGAGGTAACACACCAGAGTATGATCACAGCAGCGATAGAGCAATATTTAATCAATGGAACTAAACAATTTCACTGCCAGGTCATCGGTTGTCTCAAGAATACTTGCATTTTTTTGGAGAGAGATCTTATCCCAATACAGGACCAATTGGTTTGCCATTCTGGCTGCCTTCCCGCTAGTTTGTGGTTTCCACAGCTCTGAATCGCTCTATCTCAGGGTGTAAAATGAGAACTGTGCATGTAACAAATACTAATGTATTACAGAAATGAAATTCAATACATTTAAAAATAGAAAGAGAATACTCTTTGGTTCTTTAGGTAAAGTCATGTAGGTATAAAAGAGTCTGGATCCCTGCACACAAAAACTTCAAATCTAGATAGAAAGAGAATAGTTAAGCCTTTATTATGGACATATATGAAAGAACTAAAGTAAAAACACATGTTCACATGAATTTGTTAATACTTCAATAAAGTCAAACTTTAAGTTGTAGACACCTAACACATTCAAGAATAAACTGTACACAATTAAATTAATATGCAGGCAATATATCAGAAAATCAGTCTTTGGAAAGGATTTTTTCCAAGCTCTCCACTAATTTGTTTCTCTTTTCCCAGATCGCAGCTTGGTCCATTTTGTGCTTCTCCAGTTGCGTGAAGATATCTGCGTGGAATTCATTCATTGCTTGAAGCATTCCATTGAACTTCTCCTGGTGGAAAAAAAATCAACTGTTTAGTACAGCGTGGGGTTTTACAGTTATGCTGTGTAGCTCTCCAATGAGTCTTTGGTTGTTATTTTACATGATGTTCCGCTTACATGTGCTTATAGCTTTTGGCAACTGAAAGGTTTGAAGTTTCAGGTACCGTAATGTTCCTGAAGATGCTCGAAACGTGTGGAGCAAAATTTCAGACATCGTGGCAAACAAGGTACAGCCCAAACGAACATGGGGGGGAAAAAATCAACTGTTTACAAGTTGATAGTCATATTGCTGAACGAATCAGCATAACATGGTGCCAACAATAGAGATTGAATATGTTGCAAAGTACATTTAGCGTATTTCAAACTCTCAGCTTCAAGGTTCAAATTCACAGGAAAAAAGATGGAATACTGGTCATGTACCAATAACAAAATACACTCGTCATTTAACATTAAATATTTATATTAATGCTTGTGCATCAAATTGTACACATGACAACTGTTTGCATTTTGTGCAAATTATATCCAAGCAATACATTGAGGTTAATGAAGTAAATGAGACAGAACAAATTATACAGAATGAAAAATAATGTGATAGAATGCACAAGACTAAAGTAATAGATTGGTAAATGGAATCACAATGAATTGTGGGAAAGGAAAGTCATACCTCATAAATACAATGCACTTGAGTTGATAACAATACATCAGTTCATGGAAAACAAATTATTATTTTGGTCAATGAACGGTGCACTTATGTTTAATGAATTCTGTTAACCATTTTATCCAACTTACATTAACCTTTCTTTTGTCATTTTGCGTAAAACGCATTTCGTTCACTTGTTGTTCTTCCAATTGATGTTTTCTATCGTGCAGAATATCGACTTGTTCAATATTTGCTTTTCGTTTTTCCTCCAGCTTTTCCATCGCCCTGTAAAAACAAAAAAAATCCAAACAATTACATACATGGCTTTCAATTAATTATTAGTTCTATCTACAGATCAGACAAGCTACCAACAATGCATCACACATGACTGATAATTATCTTAGGAACCGTGGTAACGTTTGAGTGCAACCAAGTGGAAATTGACAAGTGGTGATTATATTATCGACAAAAGACCGAGGAGGGGAGGAAGATTGGGAGGGGAGATCGGGCATAAAATTTGAAAATGGTTGTTGGAGCACAGTACTGTGTGATTCAAAGAAGAATGAAGTGTATGGGAGAGGCAAGCATATAACTGAAAAATCAATATAGTTCCTGCTAGGCGTTTCCTCCCAAGACCAATTTAGGAAGGTCTTTCAAACAGACTTAATAATGCAAGGTTTGTTTTATTTTGTGGTTCAATTGACCATGTTGAAACTTATTCCATTGATAGAAACTATTTTGAAATTGAGAAGCATCAGAGGTTTCCCCGACTCCCATTATTTATGTAAAAGTATTTGTCCTAGCTATGAATGCAATATGCAGGGATGTGGAACCTTTTCCTTACTAAGGGCCCATCAATAGATTTTGCCGACCAAAGATTAACACACACCTCAGTCACTACTGTCACTGGCTGGGACCCTTCCAGTGACAGAAGTTACTTAGGTGAATATTCGGATTAAGGGATACAATAAAAAAATGTTATATTTGTTGAAACCTTTAGTTGCTAGATGGAATTGGTTAACTGCTTCTGAAAACGAGTTTGTCTGTTTCAGAACTCACGTGAAATTAAAGGTTTAGTCATACGTAGACCTGGTGACTTAATGGTTAGGCATGTAACGATGAACTAATTTAAATAATTTTACGACAATACATGCATTTAAATTGTGTATAATTCAGGTCTTTATCAATCTGCTGCTGGATGAAGGCTTTGCCATAAAATATCAATCATGACAATATTCACCAAGCTGGTCAGAGCAGGTTGGAAGGGGGGGGGGGCACAACCAGATCAGATATTTTATGCATGTTTTTAAAATTATTTTGCACCAAACGTAGCCAAACATGCCAAATCGGAGGTGTGGAGAAAGGACAAAAAGCTAAACACAAAAAAAGTTCTAAATTAGTTTTCAATTTAGATTTAAAAGTGTATATCTCCAGTGGCTTCCTAATATTGGAAGGAAGAGGGGTTTCCAGACGGCCATAGAAGCACATCTTAAAGTGTGACATGCAGTGACCATCTTTGTTCAATGGTTAGCCAAAAGCCGCTGGGAGGATGACCAGAGTTTGCGTGACAATATCACTCATCACGGATGTTAATTATGACCGAGATGAGGAATCAAACTTCAGGTCGGGTTCATAGTCTAGCGAGCTAACTGCTGCGCCACCACTCCTTGTGTATAATCAGTTATTTTCTACATTAAAATTTACACCACTGTCGTCTTCATTAACACAACCATATATTTTACACAAATCCAGACCCTTAAATTGTGTTAATTACTATCCCATTGTACAGTGTATAATATATAAGAGAACAGTAATGCAGTCCATAACACACTGTCCAGAAGACTTGAATTGACATACCCAAGCCAGTTCAGAAATTCCTTCTCATTTTCTTGCTTGCGCTTCTCGGCCTTGAGTTGAATCGTTGACCGCTGGTCCTGACGCGTGGCTTGTGCTTGTTGCAGGTGGTCCTCCTTCGCAGTCAGGGTCCTCAATTTATCCACGTTCATGTCCACCTCACCCCCCAGTTTTTCCAACTGTCAAGCAACCACGCAGTAAACAATGCTCACACAGCACACTGCAGTGGTATGCATTTCATACTTCATTCTCAAATTTGACAGTATAAGTGACTATTACAGTATTTACTCTCTCGCTTATATAGATTATCATCAGCCATGGTCCATCCATCCCAGCGCCTCTGATTAGCACAGTTGGTTATGTATGGTGCAAAAGAAGTTCACCATACATCCACTGCTGAGTGAAGGCCCCCATAAACTGCTGCCACCTGTGATACCATAATCCATTTCACTTCTACACAAGAATGTGAACTCAATAACTCCATCTTCACGGCGGTGATGCTATCAGGGCATGTTACAAGATATGAATATATGGATCATATTTGAACGTCTCAATAATTTGTACACTGCATTCAAAATACTAATTAAATGAAGAGAGTTTCCAAAGAAACCGTGCAGGTGTGACTTTCAATCGATAAAAAAACAAAGCTTTCATCAGAATTGTTATGGCATAATCTCAATACAGGTGCTTTTAATATGCCAATAAATATGAAAACAATCAACATTTTAATTCAAGACAACATTCAGAACTACCCTTAAGAGATATCTTCAGAGAATCAAGCTACCTAAAAGGTACTTTTTAATTAACCGTGGTTTATTTTGGCAGATAATTATAACAAAAAAGCTTTAAAGGCACTGCATGATCAAAAGTAGTTATTTAAGCTACTTGGTACTTCGAGAGGTTCAGGAATCACAAATCCAGCTCACGTGTTTGAAGACGACTATCTTCTCCTCAAAGTACCGTTGACATTCCTCCATCATCTTCAAGCACACTTCCAAGTACTCGAGAATGTCTTGTATTGTCTTCACACGCAGCGACAGCTCACACAACCTCTTACTATTTTCAGCCTGAAGGATAAGCACAGCAATTATGCAGACGCACATGCTTTCCAAACGAAGGTCCTGCAAAGAAGCTCGAGGATAGTCCACCACTGACGCTGTGGCAAAGGTCTGATGTTCAAAGCAGTCTCTAGAAGTGGTCTGCAATGGTAATCATGTTTAGAGTAACGTGTGAAATGTTCTGCACAATATAATATAAATTAATGGTTCTTCAACTGGCCAGAAAACTTCAAATAACCTGCCAGGCTATGCCATTCACAAATATGGCTCACCAAGAAAAATTACAGATTAGCGAGATGAAAGAGAGCATTAATAGGCGAGAAGGCCTGAAGACCATTAGTGGTCAAATATACAGCTTTTCGGATGTCAAAGCGTCATGTAATATCATAACATCTGTATACATGACAAGAAAACAACGCGCGGCCTGCTAAGACTTGCTAATCTTGTAGCACTGCGGGGAAATATAATTGAGGAAGCCTTCATTACAAACAGCCACCGTTTTGAATGAAAATAAAGATTGTCACCTTCTGGCTTTTCAATTTCAAGACACCGTCTTTGAGCCGGCGAAGTTCCTCCTTCAGCTGCTCAGGACACTCCACGATCTGCGAGCGAAGCAGGGCCTGGTTCTCTTTGGCTGTGGCCAAGTCCACCTTCATATCGTTCTGAGAATTCCAACGAGGTGAAGAAAGTAGAAACATTTATTACGGTCCAGTTATTATGGTCAGGAATGTTATTTTGGTCGAGGACTCTTTCGTGCGAGTGTCGACTTTTATCATGTATTATTCCAAAGTTTGTGCAATATATGCTGACTAATGGTCAACTTTTTTTTACCAGTAATTTAGTCTTCTCTGCCAATTCGCACTTTTTGATGGCACCGTCTTCTCCAAGTTTGGTCTGCAAAGATAAATACAATATTTTATGAGGGGACATAAATAACTGCAACTTACAAAATCTGAAACAAGCAATAATTTTAATTCACACATAAGATGTTCTGTGTACCCAGTTTGCTATTCATGTTTTAGTCGAATTGTTCAATTCGAGATTGATGGAAAAAAATGTATGCGTCCTTCAAATAATTCCTACTTAGGAACAGGATACACTTCCATTTCATTTTAAGTTAATTTAGAACAGATTGCACAAGCTATCAAGCCAAAATATGCTGCACATGACAGATTCCACCGAGTTATTTATGATTGGCACTGGATTTATCAAATACCTTGACATCAGTCGTGGCTGTTGATCAGAAACAAGTTAAGTGAAAAGATCGGATATATAATCTATACAAAATGACAGACACCATGCATAAGAACGGCACTGGGTGCGAGCGGTAAATTAGTCATGGCGGACATGTGATTGACAGAGCAGTACTGTACCACTGTCTTCTTTAAGTCCTGGTCGACCGTTTCTTGTAGGCCGGCAACCTCCGCTGATAGGGGGGTGATCTCTGCTTCCAACTGGGCTGGCACCTTCCTACAAATAAAAAAACAAACACACGATTGGCCAATGATCTCGGAAAATGTTTCTAGACCAAGTTTATCACGCTGTCATATGATAATCGGCCCAAGTAATGAAGTATAATGTTATATTAATTAACGATATTCCATTTACATTTGCAAAAGTTATTATTTTACATTTTTGATGTCTGCAATGCAGATGTACAGGACCTACAAACGCAGGCAACTGTATACAAATGCTTTTGGAATACTGCAACATATGTATTGGTATATGGCAAGACAATATTTACTTTAGAAATCAAGTACTGTTTTAGTTGTTGATAACTTTAAAAATAAAAAGGTACTTACTTAATCTTGTCAATTCTGATTTTCAATTCTTCATTTTTTCCCTTCAACTTCTGAAAATGCTGCACTTCCTCTCTCTGTTTGAAAGCGCTCTACGTTAGTTACTTAGAATTATAATTTTTTGCACCGAATAAAAAATGAAAGTGGGCTCCTTTTACATGCATCTGTACAATTCGATATAATTCTTAGCAAATCTGGCATTGTTATTTTAAAATACAATTAGCACACTCAATTGCAAGCATAATTTTGGTAGGCCAACAAATTGCTTTAGTATTTAAGATCCCATACCAGACTTTCTGCTTGCTTCTGAAAGTTTTCACTTCTACTTAAATGGAAATTTAAAAAATTGTTCACAGCACTCCAGAATCGCAGAGTCCGCCTTGGAGCTGATGGGAAAAGAAGGCATTTTAGAAACATTAGGATTTTTAAAACACAGCATACTTTTCTCGAGCACACTCCAAAGACACAAACAACTAGTATGTGGTAAAAAAAACAACTGTGATACACAGATGACCAAAATGTGTGCGGGAAGAAACATACTTGGATAATTAAGATCTTTCTTCTTAAAGTCATAAACCTTGCAAAGGGGCATGAATTTCTCCCTGGAAAAAGAAACATTTCATCAATTAACTCATTAGACACCACAACTTTTGTCCATATTTTCATCGCTAAAAGGCAGGGTATGGTTTTTTTAAGTTCCTAGTTCCTGAGCAATATACATTATAGAAAAGGTTTGAAGTATCGTGTACAATTGTCACACTGAATTAACCATGTACCCCCAAGTTAAACATAACTTCAGATAAGTTTTACAAATGTGGTTTAGTGGCATTCACTGTTTACATTCTACTTCTTTCAGACATTTGAAAATCAATGGACTGAGATTTACTCTTACGTCAGTTGGGATTACGAAGCCTTTAGTAGCGTGCTTACGTCAGACTTCATAGCTTAAGTTTCACTATCCATTTTAAAACATATCACTACCATTCCTAGAATTATTTAACATTTTACAAATTACATAACATTTTTGCAAAAAAGAATTTCGACAATAAACGATATGCTTACATGTAGACAAATAAGTTGACCTGAAAAATGGTCCCTTCCATATATTCGTAGACATTTTCCGTGAAAGCGTTCTGAAAAGGATAATTACATAACACATAGCATTGTACATATTTAAATAATTTTACACTTTGACTGGTCTTGTACCGTTTTCTAGGAAAACCATTCAGGTAAAAAAAAATTCAGTCTGCTATACAAGACACCAATGTTAAAAGAAAACACGTGTTACTTTACCAGGAAAAAGTTCTCATTCCTTAGGGGACACAATGACTGCAGCAGTCTCATGTACAAGTGCTGCATCACTTCAGCCTACAGGACACAAGGCAAAGGGGAACAAAAAAATTAGCCGGCACAATAAACATCAAATTAACTCATTTGGCAGTGGTGCTGAAACAAAACCTCAAGTGGGCTAATGCTTGTTTTCAAGTGCAGCAGAGTAAACCACAAATATCTTAAACTATCGATTTCATTACATTCTTTTCGAACTATATGTAAACAATGTAGAAGTTAAGAGAATTTCACGTACAAATTACTTTAAAGCATATGTAAAAAACCTTTGTTGAAGCCATGAGCGTTGATTAAATATCAACCTTTTGGAGTTTGTGTTAATGCTGTGAGCGGTGGTGAGCGCAGAGCATTTCGAAACCTGACAACCCAAGTTCAATTGCCAGCCAGTTCTGACAATATTGGCAAGTGATATTTCAACTGGTACTGGATAAAGGAGTACTTGGTTCGATGTGTGAACGTCAGCACAGGGGAAACAAGGCAGCCGAGGGGATCGTGGCGTTTGCTAAGAGTACTCGCTACCGGGATAGTATGGGTAAAAACATTTTAGACGGAAATGTATTAGTAAATAATGAGATTAAATACGACAGGACATTTTTTTCTACAAGACAGAACTTGATTTTTACTTCCATGCGGTTATCTTGCAGCGCATTATATCAGAATGGGCAGTGTAGATCACATCCAAATCTCCTCTCAAACTCAAAATGACCAAATATTGAATCAACCAGGCTGGTTAGTGTGGGTTGGTGAAGGTTAGCAGCAAACCCGTGGCAGCACGAAACAATTAATTTGTTGCTGCTCTACCGCGGGTAACTTGTATTTTTCCAGTAGCCTCAGAGTGTTAATTATTTTAAGTTAAAAAAACCCCATACCTTTGGTTGGAGTATGTCACTTTCTGAGATGCTCTTTCCCTCAGCCTCAGAGAGAATGTGGGTTCTCATCATGGTCACTATGTCTTCGGCCTTGCAAATGGGGAATGTCATAACCAAATCCATGGCTGCAGCCTCTTGAAGTCACCTGCGTACAATATTCACATTCACAGATTCACACGTGTAACATTAGACGCATTATAACTCCTTGGATATGGAATGTACCAAAAATACGAATGCAGGACCCTCCACTCGGCGAGGCTTTTTCACATTTAGACATTAGACATTCGTGAATGCAGATTGTTTTTGTTACGTTTCACACCAGGAAAACCAGGTTCAGAAGATGCATCATCAGCTCAAATGACTACCGCAATGAATGAATACAGAGGGCAAATGAGAAAACAAACACTCAGGATCGTAGTCATCAGGGTAAACATTTCTGGACGGCGTCTGTAACAGTTCTGTCAACCCCGTCACATGCGTGGTGAGTTCTGGTTCTTACATAAAGCAATCATTCATGGTATTGAGTATTGACCAAATGTCCTCGTGTTGGCCACCTTTCTGACGATTTATACCAAGTAAATATTTCGTGGCCAATGACATATATACACGCACTTACCCATGTACTTTCCAGGCCTAACCGATATCGGACTTTGCTCAGACAACATACAGTATTGCATACAAAACTTGGTAAACAGGCGCTAAACTTAATTCAATTGCCAGCGATGTCACGATCCGCCCCCCCTCCCGCCCGCCGCCGCCGCCTTCCAAACCCCCTCAAGTTATTGCCCAAAAACTCGTAACACCGCAAAGCTTAAGCCAAGGGAGTAAAAGGCGAAGACGATTCTTCTTCTTATTCTTCTTCTTCAGCCGTTCGCAAGCGGCACCCCCGCTGTCCACGACGCCAACCCGCAATCGCTGTGGCTCAAAGCGCAAGTTTCACGTACCGGACGAGACGAAACAGGAGGGGGCTCCCCGGAGGCAGCAGGCGACTGACGACTAACGTGGGACGACTGACGTGAGGCGACTTACTACGACTGTCGCCATTCAACTTTGGCGCCACTTCTCACGAGGCGACGATCGCCTCCGCCAGAGCGCCGCGGATTCTTTCACCGTCAACACCCACCCCGAGCCGTTCAATTTTAAAATCGGCCGACGCTGGCCACGTGATCTCGCCGCCGTCCAATCAGAAGGCGCCGCCGAACCCGGGGCGCGACGTCGATTGGTTGAGACGAGCGCCGACCGTTGCTTGGCCGGAACCATCACGTGACTCTGCACCCCGACCCCCCACATCCCCCCACCTCACACCCCCCCACCTCACATCCCCCCACCTCACATCCCCCCCCCACATCCCCCGCACTCCACACCCCCCCCAAATCCCCCCCCCCCACATCCCCCCCACCGCACATCCTTAAATTTTCATTTTTACGCGGATGTCTGTGCGAAAAAAACCCCACTTCTATAGGTATAAATTATGTTCAAGTTAAGAAAATTTAGTTTGTTAACGAACAAAACAAAAATGTGTAGTCGGGAATGTATTGATCCTGTTTTATTACAGAGCCACGCCAAACTTTGCCCATTGTTGCAAAGATATTGCAACTACTGTACTGTAGAGGGCGATCTCAAGTGGATTCCGGATTAACCGGAGCACATATTCGGTTTAAGCACGTGGCTTGTAATCAACATTCCCAAGAATAACGATGTATAAGTGTTTTTAGATGATTAATTTTGGCTTTAGGGAAAAATCCATGGGTTATTAATCTATGTCAAAATCTCAAGTGCGTATAATTGAGAGTCTCCTGGAAAATCAGGCCAGGCGATGCAGAGGGTCAGACCAACAACCAGAGAGCGATTTCCCACTACACAGCCAGTCAGCACCTCCAGCCACATCGAACTCCGCGATGAGGAGCGGGATGAATCTCCCAGAACTCGTTTCACGACCAGAAGGATAACTTTTGTTCCAGGTTCACTTGTGCTCCTGTTTTTACATTATTACTACAGTGTATTATTAACAATGGGAAATGTGGAATCTATCCTCCCATTTTCAAGTCGACCTCATTTACCAGCATTTGAAACTGGTTTTACTCCCTACACGTTCCTCCAGAGGGAACCCTCTTCCCATATGCTCACTCTTACCTCCAGAGTTGCTCTAAGTCCACGTACGGCAAGGGGGCGCTACCCAGGGGTGTTGGGATGGAGGTGACCACTGGATTATTAGCTCCTCTGCATTTACGTACGTTGAACTTCTTTCGCACCGTACGTAGCCAACCATGCTAATCGGAGGTGCGGGAAAATCTTGCATATATTGTGTCACATGACCTGAAGGACAGGAGTGGAGCAGGTTGTGAAAGCCGACGTACTCATGGAACGATGTAATTGGCATAGATTCAGATAACTCCTCAAGTATAAATAAATATTCTGATTCAGGGTTTAGCCACGATCTATCCACTGCTGTATGAATTCTTCCCCAAACCACTGCCACCTTTCACGATCTTGTGATGCAAAATATCCATGTAGCTCGCGTACACGAGCTGATTCGATTGCTCTATGCGGCAGATGTCCAAATAAACAGCGTGCCGTAGACCGAATCGACAACTTATTGTGAGCCAACCCTCTATAAGGGATTGCCAAAGAAAAGGATGATGTCCAAATGAAGTAAAGTTTAGTAGCCAAGCCTCTATGAGGGATTGCCAAAGAATAGGATGATGTCCAAATGAAGTAAAGTTTAGTAGCCAACCCTCTATGAGGGATTGCCAAAGAATAGGATGATGTCCAAATGAAGTAAAGTTTAGTAGTCAACCCTCTATGAGGGATTGCCAAAGAATAGGATGATGTCCAAATGAAGTAAAGCTTAGTTATTTGTTGAACTAGACGAGAACTTGAGGGACCAGGATAGTGTAAATTGCAAGAGTGACCTTTAGGACATTTCTCCTTTGGCTGCTAGTCCATCGTCAGTCTCGACCACTGGCAATCAACCCTTCTGGTTGAGTGTCCTGCTCAAACCTACTTTTTTTTAACAGTCAATAATGCCTCTCATAAAGCATGTGCAACACATTAACAGAATCACGTTTCCCAAATAAAATTAAAATGTTTCATGCATTAGATACGTCCATCGACAATGGGGTGGCAAAAAGAACTGTTAGCAAATGTGAAAACAATTTGGCCCTGATATCTATTCGTCAGCTACTATTCTAATTCAATATTTCCGAAAACAAACGCGAGCTGGAAAGTGATATGTAATCTATGGGTATGCATGTAGGGTTTTTTTTCTTCCGAACTTGTCCTTCAAAACATATTCAAGTTTTGATTTAAAGCTTTCGTGACTGCAGTAATTCGTATTCTTAGTTTTTTCGGTAAAGTCACGTTGAAGAGAAACAACAAAATAATCTAATATATTATATTATTTTGTATATATATTATATTATTTTGTTGTTTCTCTTCAACGTGACTTTACCGAAAAAACTAAGAATATATATTCAAGTTTGTTTTGTTTAACAATGCGAAAGAGAATGTGCCACAAGCACACAGGGCTGTAGAAAGCTGTCAGGAAATTACTGCATCAGAATGTGTAATTCAAACTATGCTGCACTCTTGTCTGTAAAACTAATATACAGCAAACTGCTCGGAAATAACCACAGAATCTGCTCTGGATGAAGCTGTGTGGGTGGGGAGCGTGCTAGGGGAGAGGCTGCAATGCTTGCAATAAAACAAGAATGTTGATTTTAAGTTAAGAATTTGAGAAATGTTTTAATATTCCTTGGTGGCCATGGATCGAGAAACGTGCTTTACAAGTGTGCCTTGTTGAGATGTTTAAGGATTATTAAATTATTCTGCAGGATAAAAAATAAATGTTTGACCAACGGAGGGGAAGGGATTTTAAAAGTCTCTGCAGGACTATTATGAAATCCTAGAATATAAATTCCAAAATGACAAGAATTCCATTCGATATCAAACGTACACTATTCTAATCTTGCGTATGGCAATATGTTCAGAAGCTAAATGCCATTGTCGAGGCCTGCTTGTCACAAGAGGGCTAAGCTGAAAGTTGACTGATTACAAAAAAAAGTCCGTTAAAAAAACCCATTGCACTTTTGAGCATAGCCATTAATGATAATCATAAATTGCAGTTTTTTCAATAAATCTATTGCTTGATGAAGGCATCCCATGCCATGTCAGTCATGAGGCTTGTTTGACCATACTTAACCATGATGGATAGTCAGTGCGGTATGATCAGAGGGCAGCCCAAGACCAGTTCAGATATCACTTCCCACGTGCTGTTAGTCATGGCTGGGAATAGAACTCAGGTGGTCTGGCTCATCGCGCAGTGAGCTTACCACTGCACCACTCTATCGCCTAAACTTATTAGCATTGATGCATACCAATGGGATGTGATTATTTACCTTCACTGATTCATAAAGTATCCATTATATTTGAAGTGTGAAGTACATTTTTGATTCATAAGTGAAATATAACGACAAACTTAACTCAAATGTGGTATTGCAGGTCTCAATAATATGTTAATAGGGATAAAAATGCACACACACATTAAGGGTGTAATTATTTAATCCGTATCCAGTCACCTCAAGTGATTCGATTAATGCATTGTTCAGATTCATGGCCAAATATATCTATTTTTTTTACATTGCCATAAATGTAGCAGCCTCTAATATCTGTATGGTTGTCATGAAACTCGCATACAAATCAAATTCTCTATCATTTTTTTCAAACCATACACACGTACCGCATGCTTGAAAATCGATATTCCTTGACGAACCAACAACGGCGCATCACTCGACCTCCGTTGTAGTTGTTGGCAGCAGTAGAACAAAAAGCGAGCACTTCACAGCAATGGTGATAGAATAACTTTTATTTGGCTTTTTTTAACTGATGTAATAACAGGTACATTCACTACTGCTAACACATAAGTACGGTAATGTTGCCGCCAAAGCGTTTGGTTAAAATTGAAAAGTAAAAAGGTAGCACCTGACGTTTATGCTCCCCCCAACACCTAGGCAGCAAAGCCTCATATTTTTGGTTTGCCTTGCGGTTATTAAAGGTACGGTAGTGAGTAAGGATCCAGCTCCTTCACCTCGTGTCCCTCCTACTTTATGGTTAGAGAACCCTTCAACACCAGAACGGGACGAAACATTTAAAATAACCACGTAGAATTTTACAAAACACGTTTCAACTTTACTTAAAGTGTTCTGATGAATTAAAACAAAAGCGCTTAACGTATGTTCCATATATATGCATGCACGAACACATATATTTTCATCAGGACTAAATTATCACGTTGCATGGTCGATAGCAAGGCTCTGTGAATGTTGCTAACGGGCAATCCGTTGGCTCCTTTTTCGGGACATTTCGCTCAAAGCAAACGCATTCGATTCCCCTTGAGATACACCCATTGTTAACTCAACCATTGTAAATTTAGTTGCTAAGTCAGCATATATTTATTTGTATTCATTTTTATTGGGACGAAAAAAAGCAACACGAGATTTAAAATCAAATTATGCATGAAATTATAACGGTAAAAGTCAAGGAAGTTGATGTTGAAGGGCTTGATGTTGAATCTCGCAAGGACCATTCCTTGCCTCAAAACAATACGCCTGATATGGACGTTGCTGAGCAAGAGGCGACTGTGCATCTATATGGGCGACAAAGCCAGCTCACCCCGGGTTCCTCGACAAAGGAATGCCACCCGTAGCTCCACCAGAAACCGCATCCGAGCAAACTATGGCAGATGCAGATACCCGATGTACAAATGGAAACTGTGGTCACCCAGGACAGACCATGCAACTATGAAAGGAGACATCACAGTGATGATACACTCTGCTGCTCCTGACGCGCTTGTCTGGCTTGACCACCTGAATGTGAAATTGTCGTTGTTGCTCTGCGTCTACATCAGCAGCCGTACAACAAGAAGTGCATGGATAGTGTTTCGTGGGCCATTTTGGAGTGGTAGGCCTCATGTGGTCAAGGGCTGTATGAAAATGTCACAGCCAATATCTGGCACTTTGACCAGACATTAAGTTTACCACCCCTGCACTAGCGAGAATGCAGGGCATCCTTAGTGGGGTTTTTTTCACCTCCTGATCTGATGCAAGACTGAATATATATAAAGTTAATATAATTGTGAATAATGGTTTACATAA